TTGCTCTAAAACTTGTTTTTCTCCTACCCCGACTCATTTCCATAGATTGGTTTGGTGTGTGGCAGGTTAAAAGAATACCTTGATACCTAAAAAAAAAAAAAAAAAAAAAAGTTCCCATTCTTGACTGTACAGAAGTAGGGCTAACCATGGCCTTGAACCCATGACCTCTGAAGCCTGCGCATGACTACTGTATGCCCCAGCATCTTTCTTCTTCTCTCCTGCATCTCTCCACCATCACACTCCTGAATCCTCATGAGCTCTTTCTGGTCGGCCCCTCGGTAGCCCCAGCTGCAATAGAAACCTAGTTACATTATGCATTTTATGATTTGTTTTGTTTTTGCTGAAACTTGGGTAGCTGTTGGGTGGTTACATCACATCTCCACAATCCTGCTCACTCTCAACCCTCCCCCTTACTGGCACCAAGGAATTCCTCAACTTCAGGCACAAAGGGCAGTTCCATCCACATTTAAGATCCCTTATATAAGATCTCCGTTTCTGCCTCAAACAGGCTTATCAAGGACTTTCTTCAAACTAGGACTGCCCTGTCTATGAAAGGACTATCCAGTGGATACAGTTTTTCTCGATGTTACAATGGAATAGGTAAAGAAGATAATCTTGAGGAGGAAGGATCCTTCCTGTAGCCACAGAGGGCAACAGAGACACTCATGGATCGTGGCTTCACGAAGGTGCAGCCCAGGCCTGAGCCACAGTGAAGTGCAGGCGGTGGACTGTCCCCAGATGGTGTTTCTGTTGACATGCGAGGGGAAGGCATTGAGCCACGTGGGGTGGCCTCTAACCGGAGGTTGCAGAGAACCCTGAGCCACTGTGGGGCACAGCCAGACCCAGAGGCAGGAGTGTCTACTCCTGCCCGCCAGCAGAGGCAGGGCGCTCTGTCTCACTGGGCGGTGTTAGCGGCTCTGCAGTGCGCCGGACCATCGTGCCCTTCCTCTGCTTCCCCAGGCTTTAAAGTCCCAATTCACGGAGTGGGGTGCTGGAGAGGAGCTGGAGTGGCCCTTAGACACGGTTGAGCGCAGTCCACGTAAGGGTCAGCTGCTGGTCCTAAGCACCACCATCCATTTCTTGTTCTTCTCCCCACCTTTCCCCTACCTTTGTGCAAACTGAACCCTTCTGAGAACAGTCTTAGGCAGTGCTAAGTTGCTTGTTTTGTAGCTTTCTTTCCTATCGGTTACTTTCTTGCTCTCTCCTTGACTATATGTGGAGTATTTCCAGGGCTCCTTAGACACATCCTTTCCACTTTTCAGATTGACCCTCTGTAGGCAGGGCATTCATCTCTGAAGTAACAGATGTCACTCTCAGATGATGTCCTAATTCTGGGAGTGTCTTTCAGGAACAGCCTAGTTGTGGTTAAGAACCTTGGCTCTGGAACCAGACTGCCTCCGTGGAATCCCAGCCCTGTCACTCACCAGCCATGTGGTCCTAGACAAGTTATTGAACTACTTCATGCCTTGGTTTCCTCACGTAGTTGTTTTGGAGATTAACTGGTATATAAACCATGCAATTGTTAGCCAATGTCTGGTACATGTAAGTACTCAATAGATGTTAGCTATTCCTGTGACTCTTGTTTAATCGTGTGCAAACTGTCGGGAAGCAGGTTAGAAAGGAAGAGAGTTTATGCTATATTCACGTTTTACTTTATTTCAATTAGTACTGTTACCTCTCCTATAATGACTAGGACATTCATATTAGGTCTAGGCCAAATCTCGGACTGAAACTTAGCGGCCAGTTTTATTCTAGGAGGAGCAAACTAGGAGTCTTGCTCCAGGCAAGATGAGTCAGAAGGAAGATGTCTGAGAACGTGGAAGCAAGTGCTCTCTTCTGGTTGCAGGCGTGTTTGTATTGCAGGCGAGGTAGTGCCTGCCACCCCCCAAACACACACAAGTGTCTGGTCTCTGGGACAGGTCCCCCCTCCCCCCGTCACCACTAGGACATTTGTCCAAGGCCGTTACCTTCACCCCGCCATCTTTCCCAGGTCTTCTCTGGGCCCCCTTCCCACACAAAGCCCCTTTTGAAAATCTACGCCTGCACGGATCGCTTTGGTGTTTCCGTAGCCCCTCGTGTCCGCATTGCCCTGGTAGCCCTGACTCGTTGCTTTGTTTGTGCTGCTCTTCCTTATTTTTATGTTAGAGGACTCCTTTCCCTGTTTGGGTGAAAACCTTTTGGGGTCCCGCACTGACCCTATGTAACAGTTGCTTATTAATAGCCATGTCTGCACAAGTTTTGAGCATTATCCTTTTAAGGATAAAATTAAGAGTACTTGTGTGCATGTGTGTGGGTGTAAAATATGAAATGAAGAGTCAGCTTGGGGATTTCTGGTATCTATCTCATTTTCGGAAGAAAGGCGCTGTGGTATAGTCCATGACTCTTAGGAGGACATTTACAGTAGGCTCTCTTTTTCTTGCATAGTTTTGGAGTGGCAGCACGGTAGGATTGGTAAGAGTGCAGGCTTAAGAGAGAGGCAGAACAGTGCCAAATCCCTCTTCTGCCACCTAATAGCTATATGGCTCTGGCTGACCCCCTGACCTCTAGGAGCCTCTATTAACATGTTAGTAAGATCTACTTTTGCCAGAGTGTTATTATTCCCAATCATGTCCTTAAAAAAGTTTGGGCCCAGGATGCCTGGGTGGCTCAGGCGGCTAAGCATCTGCCTTCGGCTCAGGTCATGATCCCGGGGTCCTGGGATCGAGCCTCACATCCAGCTCCCTGCTCAGCAGGGAGTCTGCTTCTCCTTCTCCCTCTCCCCCGGCTTGTGCATGCTCTCACTCGCTCTTTCTCTCTGACAAAATGAAAAAAAATCTTAAAAAAAAAAAAAAAGTTTGGGCCCCAAACATGGGAAACCCTCAGATAATGATAGCTATGTAATAGGTCTCTGGCATTTAAAAATAAATAAATAAATAAAATAAAAGATTGGAAAGGTTACATGAATAGAGTTTGCATTATTTCAGTCTGCATGTCATGCTCAGCAACTTTGGTTGCCTATAGGCCAAATCCACTAAAATCTAATACTTGAACCCAACACCCAAGGAACCATCCCATTTTTCCTTTCCCTATCAGAGTTTCCTCTTTGGCTGCAGTGGGAGTACCCTCGGTCTAACTCACATACACTCACCTGATACTTGCTCTCCCCCTGCCTAGAATTCTCTGTATCACCAGCTACCCAGCTCTTGTCTGTTGCACAAGCTTTAAGTCTCTGCTCCACGAAACCTACCTTTCATGACCACCCTGCCTCTGCATTTCTGGAGCACCCACTGTTCCATCTTTCTTTTGGCACTTGTTGTATTCACCTTTATTATTTGGTTTTTTATGTACATAGATTTCCTCCCAGCCAGAAAATGACCACTCTTATTAATTTTTTTAAGAAATTATTATGAAATATAGTATATATACAAAAGGGTATATATAAAAAATGTGTTGGTTTTTTTTTTTTTTTAAATCCAAGTTAAGAAATGGAACACAACCAGTACCTTACAAGCTGTCTGTCCCTTCCCCATCACGGCTTCCCTTTTCCCCCGGAGATAACCAACATCATGACACTGACATTGATTACAGTTTTCTACTCTTCATTTTTTTTTTAAGATTTTATTTATTTATTAGAGCATGAGCAGAGGGAGAAGCAGAGGGAGAGAAAGGGAGAAGCAGACTCCCCACTGAGCAGGGAGCCCAATGTGGGGCTTGATCCCAGGGCCCTGGGATCATGACCTGAGCCAAAGGCAGATGTCCAACCCACTGAACCACCCAGGCATCCCCAGTTTTCTACTCTTGAAATAGTACTTTTTTTTTTGTTTTTGCCCTATGTAAATGGATCTTTATGTATGAATTTCTATTTGAAAATTTTCAGCATGTTTAAAAAAGTCATCCATTTGCTGCATGATGTGTGTAGCTATCATTTTATTTTCACTGCTATATTGTATTCCATGATCTGAATATACCAGAAGTTGTCATTTAAAAATGATAAAATGGACAAATAACCATAAAATTTCAGTGACCTTCAACAGTAAGTATATATTTCTTGCTCATATGTTGGTGGCTAGGCTGGAGCAGCTCTGATAATCTCAGCAGGGTTTGGAGCCACAGGTTTGATCCACATCTGCTCCGTGGGTCTCATCCATTCTTCTGCTGACAGAGGTCTCTCAGAGAGAGGGACCAGAAACAAGCAGGGCTGGCTTGCTTTTTCTTTCTTTCTCTTTCTTTCTCTTTTTTTCTCTCTCTCTCTTTCTTTCTTTCTTTCTTTCTCCCTCTCTCTTTCTCTCTTCCTCACTTTCTTTTTTCCTTCTTTTTCCTTTCTTTTCTCTTTCTTTTCTCTTTTTCTTTTTCTTTCTTTCTCTCTTTCTTTCTTTCTTTCTCTCTCTCTCTTTCCCTTTCTTTTCTTCGTTCCTTCCTTTCCCTTCTTTCTTTACCTCCTTTCTTTCTGACACACTGTTACTTCCTCCCACATTTCCTTGCAAAGGCAAGTTCTGTGAGCATGCCCAATTATCAGTGAGGTAGGAAAGTGTATTCCCCCTGTGGAGACTGGGAAAAGGAGTGAACACTTGCTGAACAGGCTTAACCTACTAAGATATGGTCATATGGGCGGTTTGTAGTTATGACTGTTTCAAACAGCACTGCTGCTGTGAACATTTTGATGACATCTGCACGTGGGTAAGAGCTTCTATCGGGTCTGTGCCGAGGAGCTGAGCTTCCGGGTCAGAGGTGTGAGCATTTTCAGTGTCACTAGGTGTAATACCAAATGGTTTTCCAAGTGGTTGTACCTTTCCAACCACAGTGGATTGGTGTTTTGGTTGTTGCCCTGACCCACTGCTACTTTTGGATTTTTGTATGTATTTAACATACAACTGAATAATTTCAAAAATCTGTGTAAAACTTTTTTCAGTGAGCTCAAGTTCTTTTCCAACCACTACTTCCAGTGGAAAGTGCATCGTTAAGGCTACCGAACAAAGTGCTCAGAATCCACTAATGGTTTCAACTTTGTGTTCTCTTGGCAGATTTGGGGCAAATGCCAAAGTTGTGCATTTCCTGGGACGAATCAAACCTTGGAATTATACTTACGATCCTAACACAAAAAGTGTCAAAAGTGAGTCCCATGATCCCACCATGACTCATCCAGAGTTTCTCAACCTGTGGTGGGACATCTTCACCACCAACGTGTTACCTCTGCTTCAACAATTTGGCCTTGTCAAAGACACCCACTCATGCCCGACTGTGGTAGGTTCTGTTTATTCTTTCAGGTAATTTAATGCTGTATTTTTTAAAACTTTGGTATACTGGTAGAGGTAGTGTTTAGTGGTACTTTTAAACGGAGATCAATGAGATTTGTAGGAAAAAAAAATATCCATCTTACAGGGAAAGGAATACTGCCAGCAAAGACTAGAAGCAGTAGATTCTGTGGCAGATTTCATTAGACCTGGGAGCATAAGAAAGGACTTTAGAGGTGTGTGTGTGTGTGTGTAGTGCACACACATATATGTCCATATCTAGTATGTATAGAATTCTTAGCCCATTGTCCTAAGATTCTGAGGTTATTCCTAAAGTATAAAGAATGCCTTATTTCATGTGTTAGAAACTACAAACATTTAAATATATATATTTATTTTTTCCATCTGCTTAGAAGAATGTATTTTCAGTGAACATTTTAATAACGTGAAAACAAACACTTGCAAAAACATACTTTTCTAGGATTATTTTGGTTTGCCATGCTCATGCTCTTAGGGTTACATAGAATCTTGAAAAAAGAAATCTCCTTGTAAGAGGAAGATGACAACATTTACAACAGCAACTTGCTTAGCCTCTTTTCTGACTTTATTTTTTTTAAAGATTTTATTTATTTATTTGAGAGAGAGAGAATGAGAGAGAGAGCACATGAGAGGGGGGAGGGTCAGAGGGAGAAGCAGACTCCCCGCTGAGCAGGGAGCCCGATGTGGGACTCGATCCCGGGACTCCAGGATCATGACCTGAGCCAAAGGCAGTCGCTTAACCAACTGAGCCACCCAGGCGCCCCTCTTTTCTGACTTTAAATGTCTTCCTCTGAGGTTGGTTCTTTTAGAAGAATTGGAAAGAGGATGAGAAGTTACATTTCTCTGCTACATATTAAGATATAAAGAATCAAACTGAATGGGTGAATTACAATCGAGTCTAACTGATCAGTTAATTACCTTGCTATAATTATAAGAGGCTATAAGGTTGTTAGAGATCCTTTTCTTTGCCATGGTAGAGATTTTAGCCATTTCACTTAGTAGCACTTGTACCAATATATAAAATGGAGAAAGGGAAAAATAACACTAACATTCTTACTTTAATTGCTTTACATGGACCACGAAATAATACTTGTACAGTACTCAGAACATTGCCTGGCACATAGTAAGTGCATAAGGAAAGCTAGTTATTATTATGTAACCCTTACAACTACTTTGTCAAATAAGTGTTATTAATATGCCCTTTTATATATTAAAATTAAGTGAAGCTTAAAGAAGTTAAATAACTTCTCTTAGTTATATAATATACTCATCAAAAGCAGAACTGGGACTCAAATCTAGGTCTGCAAGACTGTTACCTTCTGAACAGTATCATGAAACAGAGAATTCTGGAAGAGCAGCCCAGTATCATTGCTGTTGCAAGTGGAAGCAAAGGCAGGGCTAATCCAGGGTAAGGACTTACGTTGCTTCAGCTGTGAAACCACCCCATGGAATCTGCCCAGGTACCTTGGAGTGCCAGTATATTTAAACACCTGCATAGACACATATAGTCATATAGCAACAAAAACCGGTAATCAAAAATTTTGTTCTCCCATTTTCTCTGTTAAAAGCAGTATCTGTATGCATTCACTCACCTTCCTTTTTCTCTGTTTCTAGTACCTTCTCACCTCAGAGCTTTTTGAAGAATAGCTTTGATATTCTTTTATGGTATAATTGAAGTTAATGACCTTTCCATAAGTAATGAGATTCTAATTTAACGTGGTGTAGGTTTGCTCTATTTCCTGCACATTTCCCTTGTTCCTTCCATAACCCAAGGAGTTAGAATTATGAACCAAGGAAAGGTGATGGGAATTTAAACAGTTGTTCAAGACTAAGCCAATTAACATGAGCTACGAGAATAGATACTCCTTGATAATAAGCTTGAACGGGCAGATAAGTTCGGTGCATAGTCTCAAACCATTTAGCTCTTGCTTTTATAATGTGACAACTTGTTTATGTGGTGTGGCTCTCTGGTTAGGTGCTTTCTGAAGTTTAGCCTCTGAAGTATCATTTTGTTTAAGTTCTCAACCTTTCAGAGCCCACACAGATCGAGAATTGATCGTGAGACTGTGTTCCCTTGTCCATCCATCTTACACTTTCTAATGAACTGTTTGCAGCTTTCAGACTTGGTCTATACACTGGCTTTCTCTTGTGGCTTCTGTAGAAAGGTATGCAGAACTTAAACATTAACCCTAATTACTTTGTTCTCCCAATGTTTTCACTGAGTCAAGAAGTCTTCATTTCGTTAGGAATAAATCATATGACCCTTGTATTTCTGTGTCTTTTGTTTGTTTGTTTCATGTAATACTTTTCAGTTTTTGCTACTTTGCATGATAATTCATCCTGGCTTTTCTCACCTTCAACTTATTGCGTTCCTTAAAACAGTCTGATTTTCAGCTCTCAAGGAGTCTCTGATTATGCTCTCCTTTTTAGGAAAGTGTCTCAGGAGCCATATCACATCTGTCCCTCGGGGAGATCCCGGCTGCGGCACAGCCTTTTGTGTCCTCAGAAGAACGGAAGGAGCGGTGGGAACAGGGCCAGGCTGATTACATGGGAGCAGATTCCTTTGACAACATCAAGAGGAAACTTGACACTTACCTCCAGTAGAAACACTGCCATTTTCCCATGGACACATCCACTTCACAGGCCCTTGTTTCAGATACTTAGTGTCTAGATCTGGGTTAGGAAAGGTCTGTTACAGTTGCTAGAAGCTTTGCTAGAATTCATCAGATGAGGGGATTTTGCAGGACAACGGGGAGAACTGGGCAAAAGTTGTGAAGTAGCCGTTCTGTTATGTGGACAGCATTCTGCTTTTTAACCCTAGGCTTATTCATTATTCAGTTGTGTTGGAAGTTCTTAATTTTGCTGATGGCCAACATATGTGGTGGTAAGGGAAGCTCAAGCTAATTAAAATGGCTTTATCGACTCTAAGAATGTGCCAATGCAGGCTCTAAACCAGTCTCCTTTCAGAAAGGGACAAGGTATCTCTCTCTCTTTCGCTTGCACGTTGTACCTTTCACTAGACCTGCATTTTATTTAGAATTGCCCAGAGACTGCCAGAGTGATTGTAATTCTGCTTTCAGGTGAAGACAGCCTGTAACACTGCTGAGTGATTCATAAACCTATCAACAAATGGTGTTAACCCATTTTATTTCCTAATTGTAGTGTCTGAAATTGTTCGCCAGTTTTCTATGTACAGTAAGGCAGCATGCTAAAATGCTTTTGTTCAGTTCTGTGTATCTGTAAACAGCTTGTGCTCTCTGATGGTTACCTGCGGTGGCACCTTGTATGAAAATAAAGACTTCTTGCCATATCTTGATTGTCTAATTAAGGGATTCCCACTCCCCTTGAAAAAAATGTATTAGGCAGTTTTTCCTAATTTGTAGAATTTGTCAGTGTTTTAAAAACCAGTGTAAAACTTGACACTTGGAATTGGTTTTTAGATATCTAGAAATATTTCAATCTAGTGTTCTCCAGTGACAGTGTTGGATGTGATCGATGGAGGAAAGTGAGATCAAATTTATCTAATCTCTCACATTATATCTCCGTATCAAGTGAATATTCAGACTTTAGAAAATATAATGTTAAAATCATCATAGGTTCATTGTCAGTCTCTGGACATACTTGATAATCTTTCCAGAACTGTTCGAATCAGTACTGGAACCAGTGACTTCTAGTGTTTTTATCCATGAATTAAAATGATGTTAAGTGTAAAGAATATTAAATGTATAGATGATTCTAGGTTGCGAGGATGGCAAGCCAGTGAAGGGCAGGATCCAGAGTGACCTTTTAAAACCAATGTGAGTAATCTTTCTATTGGGGGGAAGAAACCAACCAACCAACCAGGAAAGAAGACCATGACCAGAAACTTGAGAGGTTTAATTGGGCAGTAGCTACAATGGCTTTTATGACGTAACTAACCTTCAAGGTCGCCCTTCTTTATTTCCACAATATCCTACTGGTTACACAAGTCAGCCCTATTCAATATGGGTGTGAATGAATACACAGGGATACGGAATCCTGGAGGCAAGAATGGTTAAGGGCCACCTTGGAGGCTGGCTACAGAAGAGCTCAAGAAGAACCTGAGGATTTACCTAAAATTGTAAAATATCAAATAAGTGATTTCTGAAGATAAACTACAATTATTTGTACTGGTGGAGGAGTTGCTATAATCGTCAAGTACACTAAGCATTACTGGAGATTTAAGTGCCTCCATGTTTCAGGTGCTGTGGTGCCTCTTCTCAAAATACTCCTAAATCCAAGGATCTCCGCGTTGGGGGGCTTATCAGGATGCAACCCCATTATAGGTCGAGAGAGATGTGTATATAAAATAAGGAACTGGTTTCCTGGCATCCTCCAAAGGTAACCAAGGTGATTTTGGGGGGATTGTGTTCTAAGCCATCATTATGAATTAGTGAATTTTAATGTAGTTGGTTTCAACCCATTGCAGTTATTCTTAAAGATCTAATTGTTGGGGCGCCTGGGTGGCTCAGTCGGTTAAGCGGCTGCCTTCAACTCAGGTCATGATCTCAGGGTCCTGGTTTTGAGCCCCGCATCGGGCTCCTTGCTCAGCAGGGAGTCTGCTTCTCCCTCTCCTTCTGCTGTTTCCCCCACTTGTCTCTCTGGCTCTCTGTGTCAAATAAAATCTTAAAAAAAAAAAGATCTAATTGTTTTACCTTTATGATTTACATTTTAAAAACACTGCTTTTGCAGCTGGTGGAAAATAGCTTGAATTGAGGACAAAAGAGTTGATGGGAAGGACAGTTAGTTTACACTAGTGGTCCTGGAGAAGAGACCGTGGTAATCTAGCATAACTTTCACCAGGATGAAGGCAGTGAAGTTGCTGATGGATTGCATATGAAGAGTGAGGAAAAAGGAATAATTGAGGGGTTTGAGCAACTGAGTCTCCCAAACTTGCTGCTCCCTAAAACACTAGAGACTTAACTGTAAGTAGTTTCTTATGCCTCATCACTTACAAATTCTGATTCAGTAGGTCTTGGTTGAGGCCATAGTGTCTCTGCTTCAAGTAACTACCAGGCAATCCAAAAGACTCTGACCCAAATAACATTTGAGAACCACTTGATACATTAAGGAGGTATTTATACTAAATGCAACAGGCAATGAGATTTTTAGCCGAAGATGCATGAAGAGGTAAGGTGGTGGTTGCATAGCAGGGGGCTCAACTTCTAATTAAAGTCTTTCCAAAAGACAGTCTCAGCTCTTTGAGTCATAGAAAACATTACCATAAATAACATGTATAAATGTATTTGTATAGTGTTTACCTTTTTAATGTCACTGAGACTTGAAGCATTAAGCTAAAGTAAGATTTGACATGTCCTTAAAATAGTCTGCTGTGGTTTGCTTTTTTCTTTATTATTACAAATACACAAATGGATTATTAGTTTTTTTACATTTGGGTTAAGTTACTTGACTAACATTTCTTTGGGGTTCAGATGCTGAAATTTGACCTTCAAAACTATGTAAGAAAGCAAAAACAGGAAAGAAAGTTTACTGGGCATTTACATCTCAATTCTATCGATCCTATGACGTATATATGGTATACACATTTTGCAGATAATCAGAGAATAAGGTTAAATAATTTGCAGATTTTGATTCAAATTTTTGTACTCCAAACCTCAAAGCTATGCTCTGCATTAAAAAAATGTGTGGTTAAAACAGACAATGAAATCAGAGAAACCTCTCTATATAACCAGAAATACAAATGCCAGAAATCTGGGGAGTAATATAATGTGTAGTAATATAAGAGCTTTCATTTTGCTATGAAGATAAGGACCTGTAGTTTGAAATAGGACTTGGGAAATACCTTTGTAAAAGGCTTTCATTAAGTAGGCTGCCTGAAATTACAATATAAAAATAAACGGATAAAATCCCAGGAAAGAATTTGTTTTGGCTAGGATTTGATTCAACTTCTGTACACACGTATCTTACAAGAAGCCTCTATTATCCTGTTTTCAGTGGTGATAGTGGCCTAGAAGAGGCACAACTTCTGTTATAGGACTATTCTGTGATACTGTGATGTAATCAGGGTCAACACAGACCTATATGGGCAAAAGCTCCTTATACCTTATACAAAGTTCAGTTCTTGTGATCTACTTATTCTGTATTCACTTGTTTCTTGATGTCCAGTCTATCAACTACCATTTCTCACTACCGTTTGCCTAGAATAAAAATAGGAAAAGAGTCAAATGTTCAGGAAAGGGCCTTTGAATGCTAGTCCTTTTCCAGAGTCAAGCACAGTTGACCTTGAACAACACAGGTTGAACTGCAAGGATACACTTACACATGGATTTATTTTTTAATACAGTACAGTACTGTATTTTCTTGTCCTTATGATTTTAATAATTCTTTTCTCCAGCTTCATTATAAAAATACAGTATATAATTTATGTATGTATATGCTGAGTGTTATCAGTAAGGCTTCTGGTTAGTAGTAGGCTATTAGTAGTTAAGTTTTGGGGGAGTCAAAAGTTCTATGTGGATTTTCAACAGCACAGGGGGGTCAAGCACCCCTAACCCCCATGTTGTTCCAGGGTCAACTGTATAGGGATTTACTGAAGGCTACTATTTTAGGTGCTCAAAGTCTTTTTTGGCTCCTGGGTCCCTGGTTGAGATTAACAGAAATCCAGTCTTCAGACAACTAATACTGCCATGCAGTATGTAATCCGAGTAACTATTCTGGAACTCTCTGTATCAAAAAAGATCACAAGATTCAAAGCCTTTTCTTTTTGTAATTGAGAAAAGGTTATCAAAGCATCAAATTTGGTGTGTGGGGGAAGCAAACCTATCACTTGGTGTTTTTGTCTTAATACTTTTTTTTTTTTACATTATATAAGCTAATAAAGCTCTAAAGTGAAAAAGCTTATATAATTTAAATATTTATTGAAGGCTATTAACTTTTGGAATAAAAAAGGATGACAAGCATACCACAGAAAACAGCATATAACGTGCATAGATTTATGCAGTTAAGAGGCTGAGAAACCACTGAACTAGGCTAACAGATTTCTTTCCTTGATCTTTTCAAGGATATGCCTTAATTAGGGTGAAGTACTACTTTTCCAACTACACTTCAAAATCTTCTCCAGGGAGCCTAAACTACCACGGATCACCTAGTAAGATGTGTAAAATGGCAGCATATAACTCAGATTATAAGAACATTTGTAGAGGATCAATATATCATTTTTTTAAAAAATCTTGTGAACAGTGGTGGATAGAATAGCCTTTTGCTGTTAAGACAAATTTGCCTACACACGGTCAGATCCACACCTTTGGAGATCAACTCTATGCTTGCTCAAGGTCTGTAATTCATGCCTGAAATAAATGTTTGTCTTAAATCTCCTTACTTACACCTGCAAGAAGCCTATTACGTCTCCTTCACTGGAACATTTCTCATGAAATATTTACCTTTTCTTTACCAACATATTGATACCAGGGCAAGTTTTCTTTAAAAACCTACAGTGTACTAGGGAATAGCCCTTCCCTCCCCTAACAAAAAAGGTAAATTAAGCATTCTGGAAGTTGTATCCTGGTTAATTTTATCTGCCTTTATTCTTAACTAGATTGCTGAAGACTGCAAACTTACTGAAAACCTTCCTGAAAGTGTTCATCTCTCTTCTTTAGTAAGTGCAGCACATACTTAATATATACTTTGAGGACTCTTAATATCCCTTCCGATCACATTAAATATCCCTTTGTAGAGTCTAGACTGTTTCAAATATGCAAACACATGTCCTAGAATTTCTTTTATCCACCAACCTAAGAAATCATTTTGACATTTGGTAGCCTTCTAAATAAAGTTCCGCAGCCTTAGTTATTAAAAAATTTTGGACACTTGGCTGAGGTTAATGGAGGTGGCCTGTGCCATATACATTAAATTATAAACATTAAAATTTTGTTCCTTTCATATAGAAATCAGTTTTCATAAAAAGTAGAAATGGGTTTAAATTTGTCAGAAAACTCTTGATCAGGAAGTTTGAATAGGGAATTGGAAGATTTAAACATCCCACATTTTAATCAAAAACTGGTAACTCATTTGCTCTTTCAAATGGAGTAAATTATTATGGGTTCATATAGAAGACTACTCTCCCTTATTACATACCAGAAATACGAGTATATTAACAGGGAAAGAGAACATTATCTGCTTACAAGGTTTCTAATCAACAGAGTTTTCCCTTTGAAGTAGGCAATACTGCAGGGAAGCATCCCAGTCACTATTCACAGCTACCAGTTCCTGGCTCTTCTTATTCAGGAGTAACACACAAATAAGGTATCCAATTCCAGAATGTAGAACTTGGTTACTACATACTTACTGATGAATAAGGGAAAACAGTATTACACCTTTTATAAGTATTTTAAAGTTAAAATAGCTAAAAACTTAAGGTTAAACATCTGAGTTATTGTTAAGCCAAAGATATCTGTCCACATGTGTTTAATGAATCTTCCAAATCCTAATGAATAGAATTTTGGCAAGTACTATAATGAAAAAAATACACCAATGCCTTTAACTTCCCCCAATAGAAAACATACACTGCCTGAAGATGATAATTTCATTGGTACTCACTAGTAATAAACACAAGATATTTTCTTGATTTACTATTTTAATCCTAGATTAGGGCAAATCTACAATGCAAATCTACAATTTGCCCTAATCCTAGATTAGGGCAAATCTACAGTGCTATCTAGTAATAAATATCACTACACATAAGTATTATCGCATCTCCTTTTTTCCTGGTAGATGTGGAAAATAATTGGAACCAATGTTTTAGAAGATCAAGGCACTTAACTTTAAAAATATATGCACTCTGATTTCTAAACAAATTCAGCCAAATTGAGCAAAATAAAAGAGGTGGTAAGAATAAACTTGTTACTCATAGTACTTTTTATGTACTGTCGTCAGTGAAAAACAATTGTGTAACATAGGTATCTTCACAGAAGTGAGATTTATAAAAAATTTTCAAAGAAAAAGTCACAAAAATTATGGCACAGAAAGAAGTGGATTTTTAAAACTTTTATTGATTTTAAAACAAAATCCAGTTTGAACCACAAAATTCAGTTTGAACCACAAGTGGGATACAATGTCTTCAAGATACTTCTAAAGCTATTATTCTACATAATTATGAAACAATTAACAGCAGAGCATAATACGAACTTTTCATTCTGGTGGTTTATATATATATTTCCTTAGGATGAATTAAATTTGTTTATTTAACACCAATTTTAATAGGACTGTACAAAAACAGGTATTTTTTAAATGACTTGCCAAATTTATCATTATGAATGTTTAAAAACAAGTCTATAAATGGGTAAAGAGGCAAGCAAAGTCTTTTACAGTGAGTTTGCAAGGCTTTGCCTTTGTAAGCAAGAATAGTATATCTCTTTTTTTGCTGAAAATTCTTTTTGTACTTAATCTCACGGGAGTACTGGTATATAGAAATCCACATAGTATATTTCATGAGATTTTCATCAACCTGATTTTTTTTGTGTAATGCTAGTTCTACAAGGTAAAGAAATTCCCAATTGCTCCTAATGCTAGGGGACCAACCCCAAGTTATTATTCCACTCTTATCTGTACAGAAAGGTCTGTTGATCCTTTTACCCAGCCCTCTGCTTACCTGCAGCCAAAGAGAAAAGGGGCTGGGAAGATTCTTGCTGCCTAATACACTGTTCCCTTGGAGCAGGAGACCGGGCACAGGGAGGGGAGAATTTAGCTGTTGATAGATTCAGCACATAGTTCGATGTATGCCCTAGAACACAACACTGCCTCCAAGCTTATCTTTAAGTCATTTCTTAACACTTTAAGTAAAATGAAACGTGTTCTCAAGTCTGCATGGTCAAACAGGAAGCTTCTCCTGTACAGTAATCTTTCTTTGGATTAAAAAGTTCCCCTTAAGGAAGGACACCACTCACTAACGTGACTGGCAAATGTAGAGCTTCTAACGTGATTGGCAAATGTAGAGCTTATTTAAATGTGACTCAAAGAGTCATCTAGAATGCCATGGCAACTACCGTGAGTCTGATTATTAACCAAAAAGTAAGAAAAAGAGGACTAATTTTATAGATAAATGTAGGGTGAATTACTGAAGTTCCAAAATCAATGTCTGATTCTAAACACAATAACAAAGAAATTTTTCCATTCAGGATTAAGATGTCTTTAAGAGTTGAAACGATTTTGGAGGTCATCCAGCCCAACTTCCATCCAGATATCACGCCTCTCACATATAGTAGTCTTCTGAATTATAAAAATTTATAAAGTTATTTTTTTAAAAAAAAGCTATCATAAATAAAAATTATCTCTCTATATAGAAATATCTATTCAGCAATTCCATAATTTAAATATTCAAATTAAACTGGGTAGAATTGGTTCCTTCTCACCCCCAGACTGTATTTACATGCTAACACATCGAATTACATTTAAACAATAGTACTACTTGACTAAAATGGAGAAAAATAGTATTCTAACACAGTCCCTATATTTTCATAAACATAAAACTGCAAATCACATATGTGAATTAGATCTCAAACTGTTAAAAAAAAAAATTATAAGTTAACCTGCTAACCTGGACTTCAGTCTCTCATTTAAGGTTTGATTCTGGAATGCAAATATGGTTTTTCAAAGTAATAAAATCTCTTGTATATAATCTATGTATTAATCGCTTACAAGGACTGTGAATCCATCACATCACAAATGGAAGGCTCTAGTGATTAACCAAATGTGTCCAACACAGAAAATAACTCTTTATTTGGTCAAAAGTATAAAAAGTTTGACCTTATTTGAAATATGAAAAAGCTGAGTACTTGAAAGATATATGAAAATACTCAGCAAAGACAGTATGAAAAGCTGAATAACAAAGTAACTTTCTGAAAAAATTATTTTAGGCCACAGTATATAACAGAACTTATTGCTATTTGAAATATCATTAAAAATAGGTTCATATATAGAAGAGACTATATATCAGTAATACTTTACTAATATAAAATGATATGCTCTTTTTAGAAGACATACTCTATATCTCGTTTCTAAAACTCTATTTTCTGATTTCCAAAATTTCCATATATATCTAATCAAACTGACCTTACCAAATCCCACAAATTATAAATCAATTAAAGTTCTGATTTCATTAATTTTAGCTTGTTTCATTTCATTAGCATTTGTTTTTTTAGTTCCAAAGGCTCCAGCAGCAAGTTCTCTCTTTGTGTTTTGTATTTTCAGCATATTTTCTTCAACAGAATCCTTCACAATGAACTTAAAAAGAAAAAAAAAAGTACTTTTTGTCACAATATTTAAAATCTTCAATTAAAAAAAATGCAGATTTATGTTGAAATATCGGTCCACTATAAAGAAATTTGCTTTCTTACAGTATTGTATAGCTTTCAGAATTGGTCAATCTATTAGAAACTGTTTAGCTCTCCTTTTTTTCTCAATATGCAGTGAGCATATTTAGAATATGATAGAATAACCAGACCTGAGCATTGCTTTCCCTCATCACTCAATATGGTTTTCTTGTATAAAGAATATGGTTGTAAGGCCGTAAGTTACATCTTAAGAACAGCACCAAAACCAGCAAACTTTATAGGCAACTCTGTAACTGGAATACTTGCAAAATAAATTCAGCATTATATTTAAATAGCCAAATGAGATTTTCCCAGAAATGCAAGAATGCGCCTTTATCTGGTTTAACTTAATGTGCAAAAGTTAAGAAAAGTTAAAAAAAAGCATCAACAGATGCTTAAGAAACATTTCTGATAAAAACCTTGATTAAAAAAAATCTTCATTAACCTATAAATAAATGTCTCTCAGTCTTAAATGTATCCACTAGAAACTTACCAAGAACAATGTAGTCACAATGTAAAACAATAAAAGGAACAGTTCAAGAATGATTACTATCACTACTAATAGTCAACATTGTGTAGAGGTCCAGTTACTGTAATAACTATACAACATTACTGAAATACATAAAAGACCTAAATAAATGGAGATACTAAATTCTTATATGGGAACACTCCTTATTTATAAGGAGTGTTTATATATTTATAAAGACCATTCTCAAATTAATCGTAACTTCAATAAATCCCAAACAAGATTTCTTAAATGGGATCTGGTAACCTAAATCCAAAGTTCAATTCAAGAGTAAATAATTGTATTAATGAATTTTAAAAAGAAGGGTAATGAGAGCACTCTGCCCTGCTAGATATCAAAGCATACTTTAAAAAACCATAGTAATTTTAAGAGTAATATTGTCCTGGGAATAGGAAAAGAAATCAATGAAATAGAAACACAGAAACAAAGTCTGGAAAGAGACTTACATTAATATATATGAGTTAGTTTATAATAAAAGTGACATTTCAAATCAGTAGAAAAAAATGATATACTTAAAAACTTTAAAGCTTTTTCATGAAAACAGAAAAAGACACCCAATTCAAAGATAAGAGTTTGAAATAAACCATTTCCAAAATACAAAAAATTTAAAATCAAAATGTATAAAAGAGTCCTTTATATTATAAAACTGTATTTGTACTTTATGAAAACTGGGCAAAAAAGCAATGCACAGAAAAAAATATTAACTGACAACAGATAAGTGAAAAATGAATATGCTCAAGGTCTTAAGTATATGTAAATTAAAAGAGCACTTTTCTGACCATCACATAAGTAAAAATTTACATCATTCTCATGTATCATTAAGCCCGTTTTGAAAACAAAAGAATCCTAAATCCAGAATTCTATTTTTTTTTTTTTTAACATTTTGAGAGAAAGAGAGCCCGCAGGGGGGGGGGGGGGGCAGTGGGCAGGGAGAGGGAGAAGCAGACAACCCACTGAGCAGGGAGCCCAACGTGGGGCTCGATCCCAGGACCCTGAGATTATGACCTGAGCCAAAGGCAGACACTTCACCAACTGAGCTACCCAGGCACCCCCAGAATTCTCATTTTCTTAATCAATCCTGAAGAAGTACTTGTATATAATATAATGCTCATTATGGCAATGTTTTTATTAGCAAAATATTAGACTGGCTAAATTATTATGTACCTATATATGGATGTTAAAAAGAATGGGTTTGTAGAGTCATCAAATTCAGAGAAAATAGAAGGGTGGTTGCTGAGGGCTGAGTTTCGATTTGAGATGAAAAAGTTCTGGAGACAGATGATGTTGAAAATTACACAATAGTGTTAAAGTATGTAATGCCACTTAAGTGTACACTTAAAAATAGATAAAATGATAAATATTGTTATGTATATGTATGTTTTACCACTACATGGAAAAAAAAGATTTTATATGTACTTACATGGTAGTGTACTTATATGGATAGTTCCCAATATATACTGTTAAGGGAACAAAGTATGTTGCAGAATAATAAAGTATGATCCCATTTACCTTAAATTTTTTAAAGGAGAGATAAATACAAGTGAATCTATGTAAACATCAAGAAAGAGATTTTGAGTAACATGTAAAACTATTGATGGTGGTTTCCTCTAGAGGAGATTAAAGCTAACCTTCATATTTTGTTCTGCCCAATTCTACTGTAATCTTTCATAATATATTCATGCATTATTTGTATAATCTTAAAAATCTCAACCTAATTTTAAAATAGATGGCTTAAAAACTCACTTTTGTGATGATAACTTCTTGCTTCTGGCCAAGTCTATGGCATCTGTCAAAGCACTGATCTTCAGCAGCTGGATTCCAGGCCTAACAAGAATATGAATTGCTTTATTACCACCCTGATCTATGAGTGTTCTGCACAAATCCTTTCATTTCAGTATTACTCATTCACCTTTTACTGACGCCAATTTTTTGACTGAATTCAGATACTGACATGAATGCTCTGGGAAAAAAAATACACCCCACCCACAACTATGACAGGCAGGTATTCTCCCCCATCAGTTCACTACACTGCTTCTAGTATCTAATACAGTGCCTGATACATAGAAAGCACACAGCATAAGCAATTAAGTAATCAAATAGTATCTTTATATTTTAAAATTGATCTATGTCTATTAACAAAGGAAAAAAAAGGTTATGCATCCTCTTAAATGACAATTTATATCAGAAAAGATATGTAATTGAGTCTATTTATGAAAAAGTTTTCTCCCCTTTTGCTGGTCTTTTGATTCTTTTTCTTTCACTTTCTTCCATTTGTTAAATAAAAGCACAAAAAAAGATTTCAGGAATAATCAAAAGTCCTAAAAATTAAAGGCTTTGTTGATGCAATTTTCTGTATCTGTATTTGACTTCAAAATTGAACTAAAGTAACATTAACTCATTAAATACAGGCATTATCATGGGGACTGTCTTAAAGTGAAGAATAAAACAATGAAGCAAAGAAAAAAATAAGCAAAATGATATAGAGTTCTTCAGTCTAGAAAGATAGGCGTCAAGTGGTTTGGAAATAGTATCATGAACTATCAGAGTAGGGATCATTAAATTTTAAACTATGGGATGATTCTTAAAGGGTGTTTAGGGCAAAAGAAACTATATAGCAAAACTACCTGAAAATGAAATAAAATCGCAAATGCATATGTAAATCACAAGTTTATAGTATGATTCATACTCAGGCTGTTATTTTCTATTTAAAGTTCTCTTGATGGGGCACCTGGGTGGCTCAGTTGGTTAGGCGTCTGACTCTTGATTTTGACTTGGGTCATGATCTCAGGGTCATGAAATTGGGCCCCACATCCGGCTCTGTGTTGGGCATAGAGCCTCCCCCCAACCCCTGGCTCATACTCTCTTTCAAAAAAAAAAATAATAATTAAAAATAAATTAAAAAATAAAGTTCCCATGAGCTCTAGGGAAAAGGAGATTTTACTATTGTAATTTGAGTATTGGGTGATTTTTCATATAGAAGTCAGATTTTAAGAATATACTTAGCTTATGATTTTCTAAAACTGATAATCACATTTTATGCATATTCTGTATTTCATGATTGGATACATTTTGAAACCGTTATACCAAAAGCCCAGGTAAATAAATGTTCCTTTCTGTTGTCTCTGTTTTATCTAGGAAACTTCTCTGGTGAGCTGGCAATATATATCTAGTATGACTACCAAGAGTCAATTTTTTTTTTTTTTAAAGTAGGCTCCATGGCCAGCGTGGAACCCAACATGGGGCTTGAACTCACAACCCTGAGATCAAGACCTGAGCTGAGATCGAGTAGGATGCTTAACCAACTGAGCTACCTAGGCACGCCTACCAGGGATCAAATTTATCTCATGGTAATATAAAACTGATAGCTTCCATTTTCACCAGTACTGATGAAGGAAGGTAATTAGCTTTATCAAAAGCCCAAAATCAAACATTTGAAATACATCTTAACTCTAATGCAACATTCCATGAAAAGGTAAAATATTTTCAAGAGTAAAATTTTTTGATTCAATCTTATTTTCCTGGGACCTGGCTTTCATTTTAAAGTTAGAAACATTTCGTAAATGTTCAATGAAAAACAATTTACTATGAACTGCTAAAACATTTTGGAAGTTTTTTTTTTAATTACTAAAGAAATTTTTTTTAAACTACTAAATAGTCTGTGATCAGCTTTATAATACTATTATTTCGTATCAACAACCTTCTTATCAGATACTAAGATTATAACAAAAGAAGCAAATAATTTGGGAATTTGTCAAAAAATCATCTTCTAAGATTATCATGTTAGTTAATATAACTTAATATGCAGTTACAATGACTATTTTTTATAATAACCATAAAATATTAAAACTCTAGCAAAGATTTAAAACTTCATCCACAGAACTAAGGCAAGAAAATACAACAGACCACTGCCATCCATAACATTAATGTGAAATCTGTGAATGTCAAAATATGGTTCTGGTTGGTATTTTACTGGGGAGGTTACCCTCAGGTGACGAAAAAGCCTTGGTAACAGGTGTATGTATGAACTAGATAGGCCTAACCAGAATAACTCAAATTTGTATCTCAGTGAACTTTGTTATGAAATTTTCTGAATTTCAGGTAACAAGCTAAAACTACAAATCTTTGGGGCGCCCAGGTGGCTCAGTCGTTAAGCGTCTGCCTTTGGCTCAGGTCGTGATCCCAGAGTCCTGGGATCGAGCCCCACATCGGGCTCTCTGCTCCGCGGGAAGCCTGCTTTTCCCTCTCCCACTCTCCCTGCTTGTGTTCCCTCTAGCTCGCTGTGTCTCTCTGTCAAATAAATAAATAAAATCTTAAAAAAAAAAAACAAAACTACAAATCTTCAATCTGTGAATCACAGAAATAGCAAATAGGGTTGCCTCTAGCCCTGACAGTAACCCAGTGCAAATTAGAAACTGAATTAGTCCAGAGTGCCTACAGCTCTTTGTGCAATTAGAAAAAGGTGCTGTTCCTCTATGCATGCTTCTCTTAGGTCACAGTTTGGTGAGTAAAGTTCAGAGTGAATTTTAGCTCCAACTCTACAGCTAGGTCTATACTGTACAACTACAAGTGACTGTACTGTATTAGATGCTAAAATTTATCCAAAATATTCCATTAACAGTATTAGTTTCTAAAACTGTGATGCTGGACCACCTGCACCTGAATCACCTATGATCTATATAAAAATGCAGCTTCCTGGGTCTCATCCAAGAACTCCTTAATCTCTGAGGATAGAGGTGAGAAATTACACTTTACCTAATTTTTTGCACATTAAAACTTGAGGCCATTAACATGGCCATTAACACGATGGTAGCTACTTTGTCTACCTATGTTTATAGCCAGATTCCGGGTGCCTATAAGACTCCCTGACACAATGTAGGATTCACATTATTTGTTGGCCAAACCACTACACTAAAGCATTACAGTTAACAGAAACTAATTCTATATATAGAAGTAGAAAACCACAACACAGAAATTAAGAACATGGAATCCTGGTTTGCATATTATTGCATGATGTTGGGCAAGTTATTTTACTTCTCTGTGCTTCAGTTTCCTCACCTGTAAAATAAGGACAGTAATAAAACCTCGTAAGGATTCATCACAGGGATACCCTAGGGATACCGTGAGAATTTGTTGATACATGTAAAGCACTTAAAAGAAAGCCCTCGATACACATTTACTGAGTTATTATCTAGTTTTAAAGTTTTCCTAAGAATTTTCACAATCAGTTATAACTAGGAAGGTATTTACCAAATAGTTTTTTTTTTTTATTTTTTTATAAAGTTTAATAACATACCAAAAAGTCTACAGAACTACTTACTGGATCCATTAAGAACACTCGAGAAGCTGCGGAAAGATTCAAACCAACTCCACCTGCTTTTAAGGAGAGAAGCATTATAGTTGGAGATCCTGCTTCAGTGTTTTGAAAACACTGAATTGATTCAACTCTTTTCTTCTGTGCCATGGAACCATCCAAACGAGTAAATACAAATCCAGAGGCTCTAATGGAGGGACAAAAAAGACAAGTAACACTTTCCATACAATTTAAAAACATGTTAAGTAATTATAAATCTCTTCATTCAACCAATTCTTCTACTCATCTATTTTGACAAATCTAACCATCTACTAACGTGTCATGCTCTGCAGTCAACCTTTTTCTGATAAATTCAGGACTAAATCTTTAAATCCTGTGCTCCCAGGAAATATTCTGTATTGTGACTCTCATTTTAGATAGATGAAATGAATATAACTGGTAAAACAATTATTTTTTGCCATCCAAATCAAAACACTTACATAAAATCCTTTTACTCAAAGTGAGAATCAATAATGAATTTACCTGAGTGGTGTTTCTATTAAAGACAGGAATGTTGTAAACTGAGAAACAACTAAACTTTTTATGTTGGGGTTCTTCTTTCTTAAGTCAATCAGTGCATGCATTAGAGCATTAATCTGAAAAAAAAAATCAGGACATCCATTAGCTTCTATTTTGAATGGGCAAAATATATACAACTTTTTTTAACTAGAAAAAGAATGTTCCTGCCCCATTACTTCCCTAAAATGAAAAGTAAAAGACAACTAATGTTTTTAAAAATTAAGATTGAAAGAAGCACTCATAAACTGAAGTTCCTTTCCTCTCAAATTCACCACTAGAAATAAAAATATTCAAATGATAGGATTAAAAGCAGAATTATTTTAAGACATGGTATCCATATATAAATGTAAAACAAATACTCAAATATTTGCCCATGTGTATTTTACCTTTGAACTGGATGTCCATTCCATAGTAGACTTTTTCTCAGTATCACACGCCAATTCTTCTGGAGGACATTCTAATAAATTGTCTCCATGTATATCATTTCTGCATAAAGGACATTTAGCATGTGGCTATATAAGAAAGAATAAGATATGAGTGAAGTTTATGAGGAAAAAATACAAATTTACCTAAAATTTTTAAAAAGTATGGTAAAATTCTATATCCTTAATAGCTAGCATTTTATTAGACTTATTAGATTCATCCATTTGAGATAAATCTGTACAAGGTGAACTCCAGGCAGATGTAACGTTCTTATGTGTTAAGTGGGACTGGGTAAAAAAGGGAGAAGTATGGTATGTGATCTTGACTAACAGCAGGAGTTTGAAGCAAGTATTATAATACAATTTGCCCTTGAACATGGGTCTGAACTACAGAAGTCCACTTATTTGAGGATTTTTTTTTCAATAAATACAGTACAGTACTATAAATGGATATTCTCTTATGATTTTGGTATTTTCTCTAGCTTACTTTACTGTAAGAATACCACATATAGGGGCACTGGGCTGGCTTAGTTGGAGGAGCATGCAATTCTCGATCTTGGAGTCATGAGTGTGAGCCCCACGTTGGGTGTAGAGATTACTTAAATAAAAACTTTAAAAAGAATACCACATATATAACAAAAATATGTGTTGTTTATGTTATCAGTAAGGCTTCTGGTCAACAGTAGGTAAGTAGTTTAGTTTATAGGAGTCAAAAGTGATATGCAGATTTTCAACTGCACAGGGGGTCATCAGCACCCCTAACCCCTGCAACTGTTCAAGGTGAACTGTATTATTTGCAGATAAGTAAAGAAACCATGAATAACAGTATCTTGAACCTAACTACAATATAGCACACTAGGTGGAACTATCCTTTAGAAGAAAAAAAATTTCCATCTGAATGGCTTATAAAGCTAGTCTAGACCTGTTAAATCCTATCAGACTCATTCAAAGCAATATTTATTGTGTCCATTTGTACCAAGACATGCTAATAAAGTATCTCCTAAATAACTATATACCAAATACCATTACAAAAAAAAACTCTGAAACTGAAACAACGTTAAAAGTCAGTATAGTGGGGTTACCTTTAGGGAGGAGGGAGAAGGTAACTGATTGGAAGGGGACACAAAGAGACCAGGGTAGTAGTTACATGATTGTGTTTACTTCATAATTCACTCAACTGTACAATCATGACTTGTGCATTTTTTTCTATATTATACCAATGAAAATGTAAAAAAACAAAACAAAACTCTACCTCAGCTGAAGAACTGCCTAAAGGATTATTCCACTTCAAAAAATTCTACCATACATAGAATCCAGGCTTACCTTATCTAATAGCCAATAATCAAAACGTGGCAATTAAGCCCATGAAGTGTGGTGAAGCCAAACTGAGATGTGCTGTATATGTACAATACCACCAGACTTTGAACACTTAAGTTAAAAATCATGTAAATTATCTCAATTATTTTTATATTTTAGATATACTGAATAAATAAAAATTCATTAACTTCATCTATTTCTACTAGAAAATTTAAAATTACCTTTGTGTCTCACATTTTTTATCTATTAGCAATGATCTCAACAACAGAACTAGGATATTGACTGATCATGCCTCTAAAAGTGTACTGTCTTCCTATGTTTAAAAGGGCCTAATTATAAGAAATATATCACTATGAAAGACTGACATACATAATTGACCATAAAACGTGCACTAGTAAATCCAAGGTGCAAAACTCTTTATAGTCTGTTGGACTTGGGTTTCATTACACTCAAGACTGACTAGTGTACCACTCCATCAAACACTGAATCTGTACCTAGCATAAAACTAACCTGCTCATTCTGAATGACTTGGCAAATACAGGGTTTACAAAAGACATGTGCACAATGTGTTATGACAGGAACTGTTAAAGAATCCAAGCAAATTGCACATTCTTCATCAGAACCAGAGCTCAGAATTAACTTCATCTTCCTTATTAACTTCTTTCGTAGTTCTTCAGGTGTATCATTTCCTAGAGAAAAAGCTGAAAAATTAATTTCACAGCAAGATTTGTAATATGACTAGACAAGTTAATATTCTTATATAGGGAAAAGTTTTGCTTGGGTAGTCTTTATTTATGCTTTTTCTATCACAGAAAACAAGCATGATTTAAAATTTAAAGAAAATTCAGGGGGGCCTGGGTGGCTCAGTCATTGGGCGTCTGCCTTCGGCTCAGGTCATGATCCCAGGGTGCTGGGATCGAGCCCCACATCAGGATCCCTGCTCAGCGGGAAGCCTGCTTCTCCCTCCCTCACTCCCCCTGCTTGTGTTCCCTCTCTCGCTGTGTCTCTCTCTGTTAAATAAATAAATAAAATCTTAAAAATTTATTAATTAATTTAAAGAAAATTCAGAAGCTAAAATAGTAGCTAACCCACACAGTATACCTTACACAAAAGCATCATTACAATCTGCACATACTACCACAGAATAAAAGGCAGATCCAATTTGAAACAACTATCTAAGAGTATCTATCACTGGAAGTCCTAGAAGACATCACTATTATTCCATTTCATTGGTAAGAATTTGTGAGTATATTCCACTTGTTTCCCATTCTAAAAACAATGTCCATTTGACAAATAAGACACTATAGGCCATATGAAAAATTTCCTTCTGATTTAAATATCCCTAACAAATATAACAGTGTAAACAAATCACATCTACTTACCTGAGGGACCACTGGAAGACACTGCGTTTGTAAGAAGGTGAGTATGACAACAAATCTGCCGCAATCTAAGCAAAAGACCCAGGACATCTGCATAGTGCGCAAGGACAGTCCCTTCATTAAAATACCTAGAGGTAAAAAATGCTAACCTTTATGAAGGCCTCTAAACAATATTATTCCCTATTCTAAAACAGTGGAATAAAAATGGCATTGTTCTTTTCTTCTCTGAAAATCACTTCAAAACTACCTTTAATGAAACCACAGAAGATTTGTAACCATAAAGCAAAATATATGAGAAATGGCTATCAATTGCAATAGAAGTCGGATAGGAAGATGCTGAGAGATAGTACTACAGATCTCAAACAGACCTGCCAGAACACAATTCTTCAAAATACATAGCAAGCCCTGAGGGGAAAATCAACATCTTTCATGTGCAAAAACAAAAACAGGGTGCATGGCTGTGATCTGAACTTGCATGGACAAGTTTTACACCAAGGAAAGAAGGCAAGCTAAATAAGGAAACACAATAGACCTACTGTGTTTTCAGAAGAAATTATGGGCACAAAATTCCACATTATAAGGAACCCTACAGCTTCCGATCTTTGTTGTGTAAGCACAAATAAAACCCAAAACAACTCAGATATAATCCTGAGTCATAATTAAATAGCGATACTTCCTACCAGTCTAGGACACAGAATGCCCCCTCCCCCCGTTCATATTAACCTCCTGCAAAGAGCTAGGCCAGAAAGAACTCAAGACATTCAAATATAAGTAATAATCAGCAAAGAGCAAGGGAGGAACAAATGGCAGTGAAAGAAAACTCACCAAAAAGTGTTGCCATAGAGCAAATAAAAATTATGAGCAAGGATACTGATCCCACTCCATCATGACATCTTGCTTTTATTATCCAGCCACACTTACCTCTTTGTGTTCAAGCTCACCAAATATTCTTTCAACTCAGGGGCTTTACACTTGCTGTTCCCTCTGCCTGAAATATCTCCTAACTCCACTGTCTTTTAGATCTTTTCCCACATAGAACCTTCTCAGTAAGGTCTTCAGTGAATACCCTATTAAAACAGTTTCAGCACTCCCTATCCCCTTTCTCTGCTTTAATTTTTTTTCCATCAAATTTAATTTTTTAAAATTGTTCCCTGCATTAAAATATAAACTCCTTGAGGGTGGAGATTTTTATCTATTTTATTATCCTATATCCCAATATGTGTTACACAGGCACATATTAAATTTTGGTTGAAAGAATGAATATGAGGGAAATTTCAATCACCACTGCAAGATTTTGAACTAAGAAATCACTTGCTTAGTAAGAACAATCTTTTTCAATCTAATTCCTGTTAAACCTGCTCTGTAGTTCAATGAAGTTGTTGAATTTGAAGATTCCCCTATTTTCTCAGCATAGTTCTGCCTTCACTGTCTCCTACTCATTCTGGTCCCATGGGCACTCACGTCAAATATGTTCTCACTTGGACTAGAATTTCTCACCTTCTACCAATCCCCAATCCCTTTATTATCTACTTCATTAGTTCCTATTCCCAGATTTCATGTGTTGTTTGGAAAGTTATATTGACTACTACATATATCCAACACTGCATGAAGCCTATCTACCACACTAAGAACCTCACTACTTTTTAGAATGGCTGTTAATCCCGCTATCTTCCTCAATTTCCCACCACACCTTTCCCTGCAGATACCCTTGTCTCATTTTTCACTGACTGTACTCTTTACCCCCCACTAGGCTTCATTTTCTCCACCAATTTGCTTTATTCTCTTCTTTATCTGTAGTCTCTTCTATGCTCTCTTCTCAAGGCAGTTAACCCAAAGAAAATGCAAAAAATTGACAGAGCAACAACTATCAATCCTATGTACCAGTCTCACTTTCTTCTTCCTTTTGCAAACGTCATGAAAAATGGTCTATGCCTACCTACAGCTGCTACTTCTTTGAAATTCCCTTACTCCTACAATTTGGTACACACCTCAGTATTCTGGTGACACTATGCTAAGAGTTTAGACCAGTAACTTCTGAATCACCAAATTAAACAGCTTTTCTAAGTCTCTGCATCATGTGACACTACTGACCATTCCCTCTTTCATGATTATGCTTTCATGGGATTCTCCAACAGTTTTCTTTACTTTTTTTTCCAAATTCTGTTCTTGACAGAATCTTCTACAGTAATTTCTCTTTATTTCCCTATTTCTTAAATATGGACATTCCCCAAAGTTTTGTTCCTTAAATAGGTTTATTATCTCTCTCTATATACTTCTCTCAATGTTTTTATCTACTCCCATGATAAAGAGCCAGGAATAGAAGCAAGCAAGGTCTTCTGGCTACCCACTCAGAACTTGCCATTTCATGTAAACTTTTGTTTCCTAACTTAAGGAATAACTTACCTGTAAATTGTAATACTATTTCATTTACTTCAACTAATTTGTAAAAAGGAATTTAAATAAAGAAGCAAGTTATCTTTCAGTATACTTCAGACTTTGCTAACATTTCTAAGAAATACTATTCAGTTAAACAGGAAAGAAAATAAAAATCATTTCCTAAAATGGCTTTCTTTTTTCCATACCTTCCAATAGTAGCTCTGCCTTCATTTTTCACAGACTGATAAATTTTTCTCTCTTCATCTGAAAGTGTAATATGCTGAATAAATACTTTACGTTCTGGTAACTCTAAAACAGGTTTTCCTTTAATTTTGCTTGTCTTTGTTCTTCTTAGGGTAATATTTTTAATAAGGGATTGTAAACGCCTAAATCAAAACAAAACAAAGAATTACATAACTTTTTATTTCTATATAAGTTGATTCAACAAGAACAAAAAAGAGTATTTTAATATATTACTATTTTAGAACCAAAGTAAAGGTTTTTTTTCAAAAAAAATCTTTGTTTTGAGTTCTATCCAATCTGATAATCAGACATATATTCTACCAATAGAAAATTATAGCAATAATGCATTCATTGCCCTCAATTCAATACTGTCACAGTTTAATCTTCTTTCATCCTGTCTTTTTAACTTCTCCCCATTTTTCTTCTATTCACTAACTTTTTCACTTCTCACCTCTGTCAACTACATCACCCAATATTCAACATTCACATTCTTAAGTATCTACACGAAGTAAAAGGCATTATACTAATATCATAAAACTATAAATATGAGGAAAGATCTTACCTTCAAAAAGATTTTTCAGTAATATGAAAATCAAGGTACAAAAATAAGTAATTTTTACAAAGTAAAGATGCCAAAAAAATTAAAGCATGATGTGACTATTCAGAAGAGGGAGATATGCCTTCTAGGTTGTACAACCTTTACACTCCCTTTTCAGTATCAGAAAAAAAGGAGGCACATCAATTCTTTAAGGAAAGAAAGGTTTTTAAGGAAAGGTTTTTCCTGACATTGAAATATAAATACAATTTCTTAAATTAGAATTTACATAGTTGGTTCTGAGAATCAAGCAGTTTTCCAAACTAGGTTGGTGGCTTTTGAACCTTTTTCACTGTAACCACAGTAAGAAACACATTTTATTCCATCCAGCAAACGTATGTATCAAATTACATACACATATGATAGAAACCTTTCACAAAACAATACTTACTATGTGTGAAGATATAAATTTCTTTAAATCTTCTACTCTATTTCATTTTCTTTTATAATGCTAGATGCCATCTTTATAAGGATTTCACAACCTAATCGATTCCAAACTCTGAAAAACCACTGCTCTAGGCAAAAACCTTAAGCCACATATTAGCCTAGTACCTTGTGAAATGGCTATCACCAAGCTGAATTTCATTTATCTGTCTCCATGAGAAACAACTTTCTTAAACTCTTGCTGATGCCAGTGTATGTCATACCATTCAAGTATCACTATATAAAGCTACATAAGGTAAGTTGTGAAAATTTAATGCATATTAGATCCTCAGAGCATACAGTTTTTCCTGTCATTGTTTAATCAATTAATGGTGATTTTGAGGGCAACAGCAACACACAAAGACCATAAAGCTCTGCCTTTCCTTTCAGTTCTACTAAAATCAAAGAAAGGGAAGGCTTATGTTTTACTGGTAGTGTCTCCCCAAACTAGAATCACTAGGTTCTGAGAGCCAAAGGCATTAAGCTATAAACGCTCTTGGGAGAAGAAAGACAACAGTTGAAGTTAAAATAGTAATCAAAGTGATAACTGGTTCAAGCTGCTTACAGTTATTTGTTGCTAATTTTAATCGGTTTTCATGAAATTACTTACCTAAGTCCTCCTTCATCTCCCATTGTGACAGGACGCTGTATTGTTCTATGCCACCATTCTCTATCAAGAAATGGTTTAAGTTTTAAAAAGGAAAGAAGAGACCACAAGTCCTTTAAAGAATTTTGAATCGGAGTACCTAAAAATAACAGAAAACTGTTGTAACTCTATAGTATATCCATTCAGAATATCCATCTGACCCAATCAGAGGAAACAACCATTGAAAATGGGCATTCTGCACCAGGCACACCCACTAACTATCAAGGTATAACTATAATCCATTGTTAAACATATACACAACTTCAAAATACAGTTTTGCTCTAATTTTAGCTCTCACTTGCCATACTAACAAAGAAAAAGACCACAGGTCCAGTAAATTCAACTTTCTCCTTATCCAAGAACATTTATTTGATTTTAAATCAGCAGTATTAGCAAGAAGGAAAAATGAAACTGAGTTTACATTCTCTTCCCCGGATTCTAGTAGAGGTGTCACAAGTAGCAAACAGGCTTGGCTTCAAGATGAGAAATAGAGAAATGGAGATTCTGATTGGAGAAATAGAGAAATGGAGATTCTGATTGGAGAATTAAAGTGTCTAATGAATCTCCAAAGTTTAAAAAAAAGTCTAGGGGTGCCTGGGTGGCTCAGTTTTTAAGCATCTGCCTTCGGCTCAGGTCATGATCCCAGGGTCCTGGGATCGAGCACCGCATCGGGCTCCCTGCTCAGTGGGAAGCCTGCTTCTCCCTCTCCCACTGCCCCTGCTTGTATTCCCTCTCTCGCTGTCAAGTAAATAAAATCTTTAAAAAAATAGGGGCGCCTGGGTGGCTCAGTCGTTAAGCGTCTGCCTTCGGCTCGGGTCATGGTCCCGGGGTCCTGGAATCGAGCCCCGCGTCGGGCTCCCTGCTCAGTGGGGGGCCTGCTTCTCCCTCTCCCACTCCCCCTGCTTGTGTTCCCTCTCTCACTGTCTCTCTCTGTCAAATAAATAAAATCTTTAAAAAAAAAAAATCTTTTAAAAAAATAAATAAAAATTAAAATTAAAAAGTCTAGCGGTTGTTCCATAAATCGACTATAATTCAAATGTTGCCACAACATGGGCAACTGTGAAAAACAACTCAAAATATTAAATGACTTCTATGATTAATCATGGACAAACTTTATATCCGTGTGAAGTTTACAAAGTTACCTCACTAAAACTTAATGATATATATTTGAGAATTAATTTTTTAAAAAATATAACCTTTTTACCTGTTAACACCCATCTTCTTTCCGCTTCTAAATCAAGTACAGCTTTTGTCTGCTGAGCATTTGGATTTCGGATGGCATGTCCTTCATCCAGGATCACTCTTAGCCACCTTATGCTATGTAATGGACTATCACCTTTAGTCTGAAATAAATGTTTCATGTGAATTAAAAACACAGGAAAGTAAAATAGTACTTCATATAATTTGGTAAATACAAGTTGTTATTCTTTAATATCAACTCTTACTCTGTAGTAGATACTGCTTTAAGCACTATATACATTAGAGTTATTGAATGCCCAAAAGCTTATGAAGTATTATTATTTACTCATTTTACAGATGAGAAAACTGAAACACCAAGGCTGGAAGTATGTGGCTCAAAGTACCACAGCTAAGAAATAGCAGAGCTACCATTTAAACCTAGGTAGTCTAGCTCTCTATTGAGACTTTGGTTCAATACACTGAGCTAATTCTGCCTCAGATCAAAACTGTGATGAAAGAAAAATTTTCAGTTCTAAGAATTATTTGAATATAACAATTAGTTTCTTTTATGTTGAAGCTAATGTTCTTACTGGAAGATCGAAATTTTGACAAGGTATTTTGAAAAACATTTTAACAAATGGAATTACAGGCAAACAAGCAACAATTAAACTTCTAAATTAACTGGGAAACTCATGAACTTCAGCTATTAAAAAAAAGCTTATTTTTAAGCTGAGATAATTATTAATCAAATCATACTTGATTTAGAAAATGATTTAGAAGATTTGATCAAGAAAATAATATTCTAGAATACTAGAAAAAACAAAATTCACTTATAAACTGCTATATACACTTAGTTACAATTCCAACGTAAAACTGTAACTTCAAATGTCCTAAATGGAAAATATTCCTAATTGCTGAAGAAAGTTCAACCTTTTTTTGCAGAATATTAAAAGACAATTTCCTATTTACTTCCTACATATTCTTAAGTATTAAGAAAGAGTATAAAGTCTGAATTTTAGAACACTTTAGAAACCTGAAGCATATTTCTTAAATTCAACTTCTGAAGTATGAGTCTCAGCATACTTACTCCATAGTCATGAGTTAAAATGTTGTATGTAGTCAAAACAATATCCTGTTTTGAAAGCAAGGCTGGGTCTCTTATACGATCAGGACCATAATAAACATAAAAATTCAAGTGCACATCTGATTTTATATGTTGTCCAAACTGGTCCTAGAAGAAAATCAGAAATATTTAAAATAATAAACAGATTAGTGTCACGTTTGATAAACTACTGTCCTGTACACAAATCAAACTACTAAAATTACATAAAATCAAATTTCCTGCAATCTAAACTAAAATAACAACAATGATAACAATACTTATTATTATTTTATGGTCAGGAAAATGGACATATATGCAATAATAATGCATTATATAAATTTTGCTTGGCCCTACCAATGACCAGCCACTTCATTTTTAGGAGGAAAAATAACCAAATTTCTCTAAAACTGTAATTAATTTTTTAAAAATTTAATATTTTAACAGAAAGGATCTTTAATGCTTCCAGTTAGTAAAGTTCGTAACACCAAAATTAAGCCTGAAAAGAGCAACCCATATTCTCAAGAATGTAGGCAGAGATTCAAGCATAGTATCCACTTTCATTCATTTATCAAAGACCTACTATTTGCCAGTTCATCAACCAGAAATGTTGTAGTAAAGCTAAAAAGAAAAATAAGACCTGGTCCTAGCCCTCACTGAGGACATGATCTGTTTAAAATACTTGACGTTTTCTCTCAAATCTGAGATTCTGAGCAGGAAAAAAAAAATCATGGTTAGATTGGGGGGGGAAAAAAAGGGATACCAGAAAAACAAAGCTGAGAATCTATTAGGTAAGAGATGATAAAGCCCTAGAGTATCAAGGTAAGAACAGAATGGGAAGGACAGGTGTAAAAGAAAGATACTAAGAAAAAGGGACTGATGGGACTTGAGGAATAATTAAATATGGGCTATGAAAAAAAAAGGGAGAAACAAAGAAGCCTCTGATACTTAAAATGAGTGCCTAGAAGAACTGTGTGATAAAGATATAAGGAAGTTTAAAAAAAGAAGGGGAAAGTGGGTACAAAAATGAGAAAAGAAATGGAGTGCCTGGGTGGCTCAGTCAGTTAAACATTTGACTTCGGCTGGCTCAGGCCATGATCTCAGCGTCCTAGGATCAAGCCCCGTGTTGGGGGTTTGTGCTCAACTGGGAATCACTCTCTATCCCTCTCCCTCTGCCCCTCCCCTAGCTCGTGCTCTTGTTCTCTCAAATAAATAAAATCTTAAAATGAGAAAGGAATAGTATTATTATTTTAGACATTTAAAATTCTTGGATACTACAGAATGTCTGGAGACATGTATTAGGAATATTTATCTTTAAAGATTTATTTGAGAGAGAGGGAATGTACAAGTGGGGGGATATGCAGAGGCAGGGAAGGGGAGAAGGGGAGAAAGAGAGAGAATGAATCCCAAGCAGGCTCTCCGCCAAGCGCGGAGCCCGACGGGGCTCAATCCCAGGACCCGGAGATCATGACCTGATCAAAATCAAGAATTGGACACTCAACAGACCGAGTCACCCAGGCGCCCCTACCTGGAAATATTAAATATTGGTCTGTAATACAATGCAGAGATGGACTTTACAAAGTTATCAGCAGATAGTACATGAAGCTACAGGAATGAGTAAGATTTTCTAAGAACAGGCATAATGAGAAAAGGAGGTTATAGGGGCAGACCCTACAGAATGGAAGTATTTAAACAGTGGGCCTGTTTTTATTGGGGTAATTTAAAATACTCCGGCAAAGAAAAAAATAAAGCAAATGTGGCAGACTTTTGAAATTCTTGAATCTTGTTAAGTAAATGCAGATCTCATTAAAAATTTTCCTAATATTTCAAAAAAGATACTATGCCTTGGAGGGGGGAGGAGGCAGACTAAATAGAAGCCAAGGGAGAAAAATAGTGGTCAGAAAGTTAGGGAAGCAACAAAATTGGGGGTGGGGGAAGAATAGCAAAATTTCAGGAAGGAATACAAGGCTGATTTTTTAACTTGTAATTTATGTTCATTCCCACTCTTTACAGAAAGTTTTAAAGATGGCTTACAAAATAAAACATAACAAAATGCCATTAAGAAGAAAACTAAAAGTCAGGGCAGAGGAAAAGACAAAGGGAACTCACTGGACATGGCAACAATGGGGTCACTGAAGGCCTTCACAGTTTCTATAGAGGGTGGGAGCAAAAACCAGACTACTATGGGCTGAAGAGAGAATGATACCTGAAATAGTAAAGGCAAAAATACTAAGAAAGAGGAGAAAACATGAAAGAGTAAAGGTAAAAACACAGAGAATTTTATTAAGAAATCTGGTGGAAAAGGAAAAGAGAAAGAATTCAATATGAGAAAACTGAATCAATGGGCTGCCTTAAAGTGGAAGAGAACAAATTTGTGGCAGGATTAAACCTGAAATAGAAAAAAATTAACTTTCCTAGAGAAAGAACGATAGTACTGAGTTTCTAGTCACTGTGCTTCAGTTGTGTGTGTGTGAATAAAATATGTGTTATTTCATTTTCTCTTGGGAAGATAACTTGTCCAAATATCCAGAATAAGTGTGTGGTGGAAGTGGGACTGGTATCTTACACCTTTAACTGGACTCTCCCCTATCTGAAGACAAAAAAAGGGTGATAAGGTAGTTCTAGCCTGCTCATTAGGGTGCTATGTCATTTACTTGGAGCCTAGGAAGACAGTAGGTTATTGACTGAAAAATTCTAATTTTTTTAAAAAGATTTTATTTATATATTTATTTGAGAGAAAGTGTACATGCATGCATGAGCAGGGGGAGGGGCAGAGGGAAAAGCAGACTCCCCGGCTGAGCAGGGAGCCCAACTCGGGGCTCAATCCAGGACTCCAGGATCATAACCTGAGCCCAAGGCAGACGTTAAACCGACTGAGCTACCCAGGTACCCCACAAAATTCTAATTCTTAACCAGGAATCCATATATGCCCAACCATCCCTCATTCCTTTAAAAATCAGTTTTTTCCATAATCTCATTAAGCAAGACTTTGCCAAGGTTTCCTTTCTGAAGTTTATATTACCTAAAATTTTGTTTTTCATATATAAAATTATAATGAAATACTGATGACCCATTTTTAAAATATATATCCCCAACCCAAGCTCTTAAAGAATCATAGTTCTACTGTTTATACCCCCATTAATACTTGTAAACCTCACCCTGAAACTCATTCTAGTACCCATGTACTGGCCTTCCCAAAATGCACTACATCTCAAAAGAAAGACAATATTTTTGTTGGAATAAAAAAAAGAGCAAGAAAGAACTAACCCTCACTCTGGTCCTAAGAGGAAAAATGACACACTCATCAGAAGGTTTAATTTTTAAAAAATATATATACCAAAAACTTAGAAAGATAAGAATCAAAGAAGGCAAGAGTACATAAAAGAAGAAAGTAAAGCAGCATAGAATGTGACAATTAGAGAATAACTACTAATCTTTTCCAAAGCAATTTAGAGAACAAGTGGCAGAAGCCAGATTACAAGTTAAGGAGTTAGTAAGTAAAATCACAAAGTGGAAATTAAACCCCAAAAGGTATGACAGCAAAGGACTTAAAGGTGAGACATAATCAAGAGGAAGTATTTAAAAATGAAAAAGATCCGAGTATGTTTCATGAAAAAGCCAGTAGGAAAAGACTAACCAGGCAAAGAGAAAAATAACAGATAAAATGCAAAGGTGGAAGAGATGGAATCCTATGTACAGACTGAGGTAATGGTTTACAAAGACTAGGACCGCTTCCACCTCTGAGATTAGAGGAGGAAAGGTCAGGAGAGATGCAATAACCTTGGACGTGGCAAGAATAGAAGTTCACATCCAGTGGTCTTTATGTTCTCAATGCTTCTAATAGAGTAGTTATTTCATTGTAACATGCATCGTGAAGCTCAAACTGGAAAGGAAACATAACCAAGCTGCTCCTTACAAATAATACATCAAGAGGTTCCATTCCAATGTAATGTTTTAGAATAGAAAAGCGATCTGGAAGGGGGAAAAAAAAAAGACAAAATTTTCTGGTAGGTAACCTTAAAAGCAGAGGCACTAGAATCAGAATGTTGGAGACTATATCCTATCTGCATCATTTATTAGCTGGATGATCTTAAGCAAGTTACTTAATTTCTGTGTGTTTCAATTTGAACACCAGGAAAGTGAGAATAATGGTTGTGAGATTTTGTGAGAAAAATCTATGGAAAGAGCCTAGGGAAAAACTGAGCACATAGGAGCTCACTAAATGCTACAAGTTGTTATATACACAGAAGTTAGTGTAGTTCTTAGAAAAGAGCTTTCAATTAATTCGTAAATATAGCAGTCTTAAATTAGGTATCTTTCCTACCTTGTGGGACAGAAATGGCAGAGAAAGAAGTACAAACCTAATCTTATGATAATAATTAATGATGTTTCTCTACTATAAATCTTCAAAGAATTACTTCAATTGAGTAAATAAAACCCGAATTCACCTAACAATTATTTTAACTTAAAGTGCTGACCAAGCATTATCTTTCCCAATGATGACTCTAACAAATACTTATCATACAAGACTAAAATACAAATCATGTCACATTTTTAAAAGGCTGTGAAGACTTACAATCCAGTTGCTTAACACCGAAAGCGGGCAGATGATCAGTGTTGTTCTTGGTCTCTCTTCAACATCACTTTTCTTTGAACCCTCCACTGCAGATGCTCCTGAAAGAGTGAATCAGTTGAAACAGTCTTTAGTTTTCTTCTCATATATATGAAGTTAATAAAGAGATGACAATATGTGCCTTTATGAAAAGAGAAAATAGGAAGAATTTAAATGAAGTAGATAAGACTGTTATTTCCAGCCATGATGAAGTAACAGGAACTAGAGTTTACCTTGTCACTTTGTTATTTTTTACCTTGTCACTTTTAAATCCACACAGTGATTACTTCTGGGGGGAGGGAGAGAATTGTGATTGAGAGGGGACACAGAGAAAAAGTCTGGAATATCTCCTGATATGTATTTAAGTTATTCATAGTTACTCATTAAGATAATATTTGTTTTATGCAGTTTTTGGAATCTGTACTATAGTTAATATGGTAACCAGACTCCAAGATATCCACTTTCTGACAGTCACAACGTCATAGTCTCCTCCCACACTCTATTAGGGTGACAAATAGGATATGGCAAAAGTGGTGGTGTATCACTTCGAAGATTAAGTTATAAAGGATGCAGTTTCTGTCCTGGGTGCTCTCTCCCTCTCTCTCTGATCACTCCCTTTGGAGGAAGCCAGTTGCCATGTTGCAAAATACTCAAGCAGCCTAGGAAAGGACATGCTATAATGTTATTTTGCATTCCCCTACTGGACAGTATTTACATTATTTCCAATATTTTTCTAAAATAACACAGCAGTGAAAACTATTTTTTCATGGCTACATATCTAGGTGATATATCTATCTTCATTATATTTGGCCTAGTTGCTGCTCACCATGGTAACTTATACTCCCATCCACAGTGCATAAGAGTTCCTGTTGCTGTACAATCTTGCCTATACATGGCACCATGAGATTTTTAAATGTTTGTAAATATAACAGGTGAAATGGTATCTCTGTTCCTTTAATTTGATTTTTCCAGTGACCGAACCTGCACAGCTTTCCCTGTTTATTGGTTATGTTTTCTTTCCTTAAAATATATTATTGTATTCTTAGTGACTATTCTCCTACTGGACTGTCTTTTTCCAATTAATTTGTAGAGGTTTCTTTTTACACATTCTAAATACGAATCCTTTGTAAGTTACACTTAAAAGAAATATCTTCTTCAATCTTATCATTTTTCACCTTGTTTATATTGCACTTTGATGCACGGTAATTCAAAATGCAGTAGAATTTCATCAATTTTTCCTTATGACTTTTTGTGTCAAATTTAAGAAAGCACTATCCTTTGTCTCCACTCACTGATTTTTGTTTCTATTCTGCTTTTCTTCCAGAAATGTGCTTATTTTTTTTCACAGCTATGATTTTTTTTAAATTTCTCTCTTCTATTATGGCTATGTGCCTGCAAGAAGGAACTTTTTGAGAGTGAACTTAATTCTATCTGAATTCTAATTCTATCTCAAAAGAAAATTCCACATTTCTTAAAATTTCTAAAATTAGGATCAAGAAATATTTGAAATGCGTATTATTTTCAACTCAATTAACTGTCTGATTCTTAGACCAAAAGTCAGCTCTTTTTTCATCATTCTGTGTTGGGTCAAATATCATCTCCTTAAATAGGTCCTTTTCATCAATCAGTATTTCACTATCCTCCTTTATTTTATTCACAATGTCTATTTAAAATTACGTGTTCACTTGTTTATGTTTTCCCATCATTAGATATAAGCTCCATGAAATTAGACTTCTGCCTAGTATAGCCCCAACATATAAAATACAGGAGACTAAGTTACAGAGATACAATAACTTGTCCCAGATCTCCTTAACCTTAGAGTTCAAACTCTTTCCTTCTCAAATATTTAGATTCTTATATAATGTTTTCCTCTGAACTACAAAATATAAAATTATAATAAAGATCACTAGTGTTCATAAGTGAAAAATTCTACTCATACCAAGAACTGAATCTTTATTATAATTTAAATAAATTCAAATTAAATTAGGTTTTAAAGAGCCATCAATTGCTCTGGACCTTCACTAGAAGAAAACATTTCTGCTATTCAGATGAGTAAAGGACCTCTTTTCCATCATATTTTTGACCTAACTAAAATAAACAGTATAAGAAAAGGTACTAGGAGAACACATAAACATGCACTTCCAAGAAAAATGGGATTATCTTTTTCTTTTCTCTACTTTCTAAACTTCTTGTACCATGTTTTCATAACTTTTGTCATTAAAAATTTTTTACACTGAGAAACAAAAGCTAAAAAACCATGAGATTTACTGACCCTTTTTCAACATTCTCCTTTTTGTTGTAGGGGTAGATGAAATAAGTGCACATGCAAACTCTGCATCTTCTTTAACCTTAGAGGATCCTGCTAAAATAAAACCACAGAATCATTAAGATATCTGAAAACTAATTCTCTCCTACGCTTAGGTACAGGTACCTCCTGAGAATAGGAAATAAAAACAACACTTCCATACTCCAAATCTTAAGAGTGTATATTATTCAATAAAAACAAAATATCTGGTGACCAAAACTGCCTGACACTAAGCATATCATTCCAGCTCAAAGAAGGAATGTAGTCACTTGTCATAAAGTGTTACTTCTCTTGAGGAAGAGATGTGAAAGTAGGAGCAGCCACATGCAAAGTGATTCAGAGAGTAATGTCAAGGAAACAGGTGTTTGATTTGTAATGATGAGGCTGCCAAATTTTCATATCAGTTGGTGGTAATGAGTAATTTTCCAAATGCAATACAATTTCTCAGCTAATTAGAAATACAGTACCATCCAGTTTACAAAAAAAGAAAATAGTTATGTTTTAAAGATAAGGAAAAAGTAATGATACTCACTGGTTACTTTTACATCTGTATGACAATGCGAACAGTAATATTACCAAGAAGGTGCTCCCACACAACTTTTCTAATTGTAATTTGTACATATAAGATTTTATTGGAGTCCTTTTATAAGTAGTAAAAATTACTTTGTTTAAAGTTAGTTTAAATATTTCTTAGATTTTAATTTGAAACTAATCTTTCAATTTGCCTCATTCATTTACCACCCTTAATTAGCTCCAAATGTAAATGGCAGTCAAGTGTTAGACCTATTACTAAAGAATCCAAGCTAAAGAGATATAAACCTATGGAGTTTTACTTTAATAATCCTTAAGTGTAGATTATGTATACTGAGATTTATATACACACCTTTTACTCTTTTAGTCTCAGACTGTGCATTTTTCAGTTTGCCTACAACAAAACCAAATACAAAAATGGTCACACTGGGAAATTAGAATATAAGACACATTATCAAGTCAAGTCCATTTCATATTACCTTTCATTTTCTGTGGCAATTCACTTGCTTCATTTTCCTCTGAATCACTGCTTTCATTGTACTGGACTGCAGTTTTCCTTCTAAAATATACACAAATTTTTTATCAAACCAAAACAAAATGGGATATGAAAACACAGGTTTAATACATGCACTACAAATGCTTCTGTATTGCCTGGTTTTTGAAAAAATTTCAAGGAAAATTTGACAAGTGAAAGTAAAATTTGCTAAAAGCATTTTGCTTTCCTATGCAGATGCATTTACTATACAAAATACAGTACCACCTTTATTAAATTTGAAAAGGTCAACCATCCTAAAATAATAATCATTTTAAATCTGAGCTTAATATCTGGCAATTCAAACAAAACACCTATATAAAACTAGAACTAAAAAGAAATAACTCTTATCAAAAATACTTCTAATATAATGAAATGAGCAGCTAAGATGCAAAAATATAATTCTCTCACAATGAAAAATTTTGTGTAGAAACAGTACATTACAGGGGTTAAGCACCTAAAAATAATGGACTTTGGAGTTGGACCACCTAGATTCAAATTTCCATTCCCCTAATTATTTGCTATGTGACTTTAGGGAAGTCACTTAATATTCTTCTATGCCTCAGTTTCCTCATTTGGAAAACAGGAATAAAAATACAATTCACTTCCTAAGATGTGTTACTACATGCAATGCCCCTAAAATAGTGCCTGTTGCACAATAAACATACATGTATTAACTATCATATGTGTGTTAGTTATTAGTTTTCCCCCCACATCCTCCTTACTATTTCCATGTCCTTTAATCTTATCTGGTCAACCTAACAGTACTGTTCTTATGCTCATGGTCAGTTAGGAGTTGTAAGATTTGAGATCTAGATGAGAAACAGGAGTCCTGGTTTTGTGCTCAGTTTAGATAGGTATTAATGATAGAGAACAATTAACAAAGCCCCAGTTTTGAGATCTTTACTGAACTAGCTAATAGAGACTCAGATTTGTGATCACACCTGCAGATATTATGGTAGACAATGCAATGAAAAGTCAAGTATTTTGACCTACTTTTGAGGGCAAATGAAATTTATGAAGTTAACAGATTCAAGTTAAATTAGAGGAGCATTATGTATTTTATTCAAATTCTCCCTCTAGTCTACGTTAATATAATACTCTCTAAAATAACTTCATCATGTCTTATTTCTAAAGGTGAAATAACAAAGAACTGAGATGAGCAAAGAGTGCTTCTATCAAATCATCTAATAGTTGTCACTTTTCATCTCCTCAAAATATAAAGAAAACTTCTAAAGTCAACAAAAACAAAAAACTTGGGAGCTAGATCTTATTTCCTCTGTGAAAGAAATAGAAAAAAAGTGGTAGAAAAGATAAGTGATTATTAAGAACTACCAATTCACTTTTATAGATTAGTATTACTTTTCTTCACCTATAAAATGAGAACACCTACCTGCCTAAGTCAGTGATTTTGGAAGTTTCAAGTAACAGAATGAATTTGAAAGAACTATATAACTGAGATAAATGGTCATATCTCTCTCCTACATATAAGAAAATGGAGAAAGAGTTTAAACAAACATTACATACAATCAAACCATAACAGAGTTTACCTTTTGGGGCGAGAGCTAGACAATTCTGACTTGGGATATTTATTCTTTCCCTTGACATCTGAAATACTGGGTTCTCCACTACATCTAGATCCTTTCATTTCAAAGAAAAGGACAAATATACAGAGTATTAGTAAATTGTCTTGACTAACAGTATCCTTCTTAAAACTTTGGTTTTCTACATCAATAGTTCAACTTTTTTTTATAATATCTTCATTCTTGTTCTTTCTATCAGGCAGCTCGGCTCTCTACCCACCCACCACAAAGGTCTATACCATACTGGATCCTTTGCCTAGATTCTTAACTCCTTTGACTCCCAGATGATCTACTTCACCTCACAAAGAAAATCGAATGCTATCTTCTATAAACTCCTAATTTTCCTACCTTTTATTCCCTCAATTATCTATATTTTCCATCAACCTTACTTCCTTTTCTTCTAATGCTAATTCACTTATCTATTCTCTTGATCTCACTGCCCCCACAGAGGCCTACAAATTCTCTCCATGGTACCCAAAACTCTTCCTAGCCATGGATTTCTTTCTTAATGCGCCCCTGCCTTCATCTCCAACTATTTTTCTATTTCAAACTTAGCAAAATACATAAGAGCACACAACTGTTACTTCCAATTCTTCACCTACTATTCTTATCTTAAAATATTTTCAGTTTTGCTCTGCTCTAACCAGTCTTCAAAAACTAATTTTGTGAAGGTCATTAACTGCTAAACCAACTATGTAACTGCTAAAACCAGAGATCTCTTCATTTTTCCTCTAACTTCAGAATCTGGCTCTAACCTATCTTTCTACCCTCATCTGCTATTGTCCATGCACATTACATTGTAATTACCATAAACTACTCTGAGGTCTCAGAACAAAATATGCTTTATGTTACTATTGTTTTGTTTTTACTGCCCTTTCATGTAACTTTTTCTTAACCAAAAATGTTCTTCCCCAGCTTCTCTGACTGGTGTACAAACACCCAATTCCATCATGACCTCCTTGATGAAATTTTTCCTGATTACCAGTTCTCATGAGATTCTTAGAAAAAGAGATCTGAAAATTTTTACATGTTACAAAGCCAGAGCTCGAATTACGTCATCAAACTGGAAAAATTTAAATTAAATATGGGGTCATGTTCAAAAGTAAACTTTACCTTTGATTGGTCCATCTGCCTTTTCACTGGTATTGTTTCCTCCAAGTTTCATAGATTGATCGTTAACATTACACTCCTGGATGAAAAGGCATATTTCTTACATAGCACTGCTGTCAATTTTAAATAAACTTAAAATGCATCCTTTACATTGCTTTACTTTACATAATAAAGATTACTTAGATTTTTCTGGAGCAATGGGGGGAGGTGCATTAAGTGAAGAGGAAAAATATAGATTAAAAAATTTTTTCACAGGTATCTCAAAAGAGAAAACTAATCAGTCTTTATCTGTTCAAAAGGAATACAAATGGCAAAACTCAATTATAAATGGCATATAATTACTGTAAGAAACACTAAACATGAAATGGAAATTTACTTTAGAATTAAAAGGAATTCTCAAACAATAAGCTTCTAACCAAGAGTCCCTACTCAGTAAATAACTTATCTTTAATGAGGCTGCCGTTGCCATCCTTGTTCTCCGGAATTCCCAGGATGGGTAGCTCCAATAGTACAGGGTCCAGAGTACCTCCTATCATACTCTATTAGGGATTTTCTTGCCAACCCTGACTTTTTCTTTTTCCCTTCACATATATCCCTTTGTTTCAAAATGTATCTCTCTCTCTCTCTACACACACACACACACACACACACGAATAATACACACATGAATAACAAAATTTCTGTAAAAGTAAAAATTACAGTTCTTCGTAAAAAACTTTTACATGAGTCTAATAGGGCAGGGTTCCTCTAATCTTTAATTCTTAACTTCATTCTGTAGGTACGAATAACAAATGCCAATCGGGCTGAATTTAATTCTTCCCATTAAAAAAAAAGGTGATTTAGTCATATCAAGTAGAGATTAGGACGGGGGGGCAGGAGTACAAAGTAATTTTTGCTGAGATTGGGATAAGAAAGGATAATTTGATTTTAGTATTAAAAACATCCAATTTGAAACATCTTACAAAATCCCACCAGTTAAGTTTTACTAAAAATGTAGGTGAAAAGATCCATCCCCTTCTAAAGGTATGAGTCTAACTAAGCTGAAAAATTTAAATGTAACATATCTAGAAATATGTAACTAAGAGTTATTTTAGGTAATTTTTTATTTGTATTTTCAGAGCTCAGTATATTTTATTTTAATCAATGTCAAATATTTACATTATTTAAGACTGCACAGCCATTATAAAATTATTAAATACATTGCAGTCCAAAGTTGACATTTTTATTATAGCAGTATTACACCTTTCTTTTTTATAAGCCAGACAAATGATTTTATTTTTTTCTCCAAGTTTTCATTTAAACTCTAGTTAGTTAACAGTTTAATAAGTAGTTTCAGGTGTAGAATTTAAGTGATTCATCACTTATATCCAATACCTGGAAGAAACTGATATTAAAAATGCTTTCCATCAAATGTTCTACCTTAGCCTTCTTCAATAATTAGTACAACCATTTATATTAAACAACATGCAAAAAAGAACCTAATAGTTTTATCCACAAATAAAGGATGTCCATTACATTACTTTTTTATATGAAATGATTTTGCTCAGCAAGTTTTTTCTTCACAGAGTTCAAAATTAAAAACCTTCTACAAAGTCCAACCTATCAAGTCATATTACACTCCAATCTAATGGAACTTAAATCAATGACATTTCACTCTGTAAGCTTGGAATATCTAAATCTATTTAAAACTGTGTAATATTTTTGTTGCAATAAATTCTTAGCTAGAAATCACATTTTCAGCCTCAATTTCAATGAATGTGACAAACCAGATATACTAACACCTTCCTGCTACCTAACACCTTAAATGCATGGCTGATTTTCGGGGGGCAGGGTGCGGGGAAAGGCCTTCCTGATAACAGATAATTTTTTAAGCTGGTAATTGCTACTGAAGCTGTAAGCAGTCTTAGGTGGTGGTGTTCTATTTTAATAACAAAATGTAGGAAGCACAGGATGTAAAGTATCAAACTACTCATGGTAAGGAACTGAATCTCAGATATTTGACAACAGAGTTAAACTCCCAACAAAAGTACAAAGGAGGAAATGCAACCAAAGTGCAAAAATTAATAAAACAGACTCTTAATAAGCAGTGGCAGGAAACTGATATGGAGCCTCTTTGAAAACTAAAAAAATTAGAACAGCAGTACAGAAAAGTCCAAAAAAGAGGTATAGAAGTATTATACCTTTTGCTCAGTTATTCCCTAATTTCTTTGAATTTCAAGCTGAAAATGGAAAATAACTGTTTCATTCTAATAACATTTATTTTTCCCATAAAACTATTTTTTTAATTCTTAGAAATGGGAGTATATATTATGTCTATATGCCATATGTAAAAATATGTATAAATTAAGTATCAAGACAGTCACCCATGTTATCATCACTAGGACATAATTATCACTATGTATGACTACATTCAGACTCAGACATACATAAATATGCCTTTCCAAAATGAGCCTCAATTCTATTCAAAATGTGTCCCTGGCCTTTTTTCACTAAAAAAGTCATCATAAAAGTGTTCTTCAAAAACAGGATTTTATAGTTACAAAATATTAAATTTTAAGGCTACATAATAACATAACTGTTACCTTACTGAGAGGAGTTTCTTTTCTGCCTTTAAATAATGCATAGGGGGCAAAGTTTGTACTTTTACCTCTGGAAAAAAATGGATTTCTGATGACTTCCTTCCTTCCATTATTTTTTTTAAACAAATTTATTTTTTTAAGCAGGCTCCACGCCCAGTGTGGAGCCCAACACAGGACTCATACTCACAACCCTGAGATCAAGACCTGAGCTAAAATCAAGAGTCGGATGCTTAACCGACTAAGCCACCCAAGCGCCCCTCTGATAACTTCTTTAGTTTCTCTGAAATGGCATTACTGAATCACAGATCATAAACACTTTTAAGATTCTTGATATATATTACCCATTTACCCTCAAGAATGTAGTACACAACTTTCACTCTTTTCAGCAACACATAAGAGAGGCCATTCAGCATTTCTCTAAAAACACTGGGTGTATTATCAATTTTTTGGCAAATTATTTTTTAATGACAAAATTAAAATGAACCAGAGACTTCGGAGAAAACACACTAATACTTTACCTTCTTCAGTTGACTTTTTTTAATTCTTTCAACAGGAAGAGGTTTGCCATCATGGAAGTTGGTAAGAATTACTGCAATGGCTGTCAGAGTTTTGCCCTTTAAAGATGTTTTTAAAAGACAAATGGTCAGACTCTGAAACTCAATTGACCAGAGAACATTCCAAAACCAATTATAAAATCAAATGGGCAAATATCATATAGCATTCAAGGCCACAGAAGAGTACTATTATATTAAATAATCTATTTATTAATAAAAAGAATTCTGTTGATTAAGAAATGCTTTCCCACACTGTATTTCTAAGAATTATTAAATGGTTTACTCCATAAAATACTATAAGCATCCCTGAGAAATATGATTCTACTGGAAGACTGCTGTTACAAGATTTTATGTTTAACCCTGAACTAATAACTTAATCATGAAACTACAACTATTTGCTTGCCATGTAGTTCAGAGCTAATTTAAAGTGATTAGTAATTCCAGTATGCACAAGATAATCATTTTATTTTCATTTAAATATCACTGTAAAACTTAAAAACTATAACTTATCAACAAAGCATAAATGACGTATTTCTTGTGCATTTTTCTTAAATAGAAGCATGTAATTTTTCAATACTTTCCATAGGTGAATTTACAATTAGCAACACAGAAATAACTCTTTGGCAATTTTAAAACAGTTAAAGCAGCAGTTTTCTAAGTGTAGCCCACAGCTCCTAGAGTTTCCCAGGACCCTCTCAGGAGTATGTACAAACCTGTTTTCATAATACTGCTAAGGACTAAGCAGCTGGCACTACATCATACTAGTGGTCATTGTATTCTTAGCTGCCAAATACTCACTTAAAAAAAAAAAAAAAAAGCTAGTTTTAAGAATATTCTGTAAGAATATTCTTGATGAAGCAAGACACATGAGTCTTATTAAATCTTGCCTCAAGTACATACGTAAAAGTTGTAAGTATAACAAGAAGGGAGGAACACATAAAAATAGTTTTGTTGCACACCAAAATATGACGGTTATCTAGAGAAAAATTACTTGTGAGACTGAGGTTACAAGCTCAACTAGCACCATGCATCACCATGCATCATCATTTTTTCATGCATCACTATTTTTACTTGAAAGAATGACCAACAACCAGTTATTCATGACTGAATGGCAGACTTTTTTTGAAAAATGAACAAAGTACAGCTATTTTCAAGGGAAAATAATTGGCAGATTTGTTGTAAATGATAAAATCTGAACTTTCAAGCAAAAATTAGAATGTTGGAAAACTTGTATCTGACACCATAAGCACAGCAGCTTCCCAAAATGCAAATGTAATATCAAAGAATATAAACTTTTGATACTATATAATGAAATGCATCAACATCTGGCAGATCTTGTAACTCAATGAACCAATATTTTCCAAATAAGCAATGCCCGATGTTATAAAATCATGCATGAGCGCAATATCCATCCAATGTGCAAGCCCACCAATGGATTTTAATACAACAGAGTACAAAAGCTCAGATACAATTTTTAAGTTTGACATTATAACTGTTAACCTTTAATAAACTAATACTTGCTTAATTTTGTTGTTCTATCAAAGAATTATACACAGTTATCTAAAAAGACTACTTTTAAAATACTCCTCCCATTTCCCAACTACATTATCTGTGTGAGAACTAATCCTTATGTACCGGTATACCAAAACACCTTATCCTAACAGACTGAATGAAAAAGCAGTTATGAGGACTCAGAATTCATCTCTTAGGCCAAACATTATAGAGATTTGCAAAAATGTAAAACAATGCCAGTCTTATCAAAATTACTTTTGTTTTGGAAAAGTCCCTTTTCATTTAAAAATATGCTACGTATGTTAATAAGTAATGAGTTTATTATTTTTAAATTACTAACTTAAAAATTGTTTTAAAATCTAATTCTATAAATATTGACATAACCCACAAATACAAAAAGCTCTTTGGGATTGTCAAAAATTTATAAGAGCATAAGGGTTATGGAGACCAAAAAGTATAAAAACTGCTGGTGTAAGGAATCACAAATATATATTTAATACTCTGTATATCACAATACTGTGACAAAATACAATTTCATGTAACATTGTTGTCTTTTCCTAAAGAAAACCCATGAAAGATAAGCTACCTTGAATTTCAAAAGAAAACTGAGAAATACGTTTATACATTATTGCTAAATAATTTAATTGTACCTTAACAAAATAAACCGAAACAAAAAAAACGTAGCCTCATTTTAAGTGCAAGACACAGAGAAAACTGTTCTATACCAAAAGTGAAATCTAGTCCCACACCAGCACCAACATATTCCTAGCTCCTTCTACTTCAAAATTACTTTCTATAAAATTATAATTACAAAATAAAATTTTATTAACTCAAGAAAAAAAATAATTACCAAACCCATATCATCAGCTAAAATTCCTCCATGGACATTTTCTGGTCGCTCCTTCTCAGAAAAATTTGTTATTGTGTTATAGTATAAGTCACTTCGCTGTTCCCAAAATGGTGGAAGGTCTTTACTGTTTTCCCGTGAAACCATCCAAGCTAGAGCTTGTTTTTGATGTGGAAGCAATGGTGTTTCAACAGCCTATAAATAAAAGGAATGTCTTAAATAGAAATTAAACCAGTCCCTTTTCTCCATGCAGATTCTGGAAAACAGCTCATCTTGTGCTAAAAACTGTACAGATTAACAGTGTATTTTAAAATTCCAAATACTTTTAAATAAAAAATACTGGGAGTGCCTGATTAAGTGTCTGACTTGATTTTGGCTCAGGTCATGATCTTGACGTCGTGGGATTGAGCTCCCGTAGGGCTCCGCACTCAGAGTTGGCTTGAGATTCTCTCTCCCCCTCTGCCCCTCCTCCCGTCTCGCTCTCTCCCTTTCTAAATAAATCAAATATTTTTAAAAGTTAAATAAATAGGAAATATTGACTCAGTACCTCAGCTGGTTCCATTTCATGAGTTTTATCATCTTCTTTTAAATCTTCAAACAATTTGTCAAATTCTGTTTTAAGCTACAACAAATAGCAACAAGAAACATCATGAAACAAACCAATTAAAATAGTTTTACTTAATTCAGAGTTTTCAAATCATTTAATTAACAAAAAGATTTGAATACCAAAAGGAACCTAATATATTTTCTTTGAGCTGCTACATTGCTCATTGAAGGCAGAATGAATAGGTGCTTTAGGTGTAAGAGGTTGTGTTACAATCCAAAATATGGAAGAGATTAAATCTAGGGTTTGTCACAGCTCTGTCACAAATCTATATATAACATTGGGCAAGAGACTTAACCTTTATGGCCTATATCTTATTCTTATAAAATGAAAGGGATAATTTAGACTTAAGAGTGTCTCTAAGGTTCCTTCTGCCATTGAAATTCTGTGACTCTATTAGTTGTATTCAAAACATTTTGTCAGATCCTACCAGGTCCATTTATTTGACTTTTTTTTATGTCAATGACACTTCATTTACTGTTACTGCAAACAACTTGTTATGTGCTACAAAACATTAATAGATGATTTTAATCTTATGCTAATTTAGTTGGTTCTTTAAACTGATCTAATCTAAATCTATAGCAACAGGTATGTGTTATAATTACTTTTATAAATTAGCACATGAATACAAAGCAGTAGCCCAGAAGAAATCAGGCCAAATCAAAAAAGTTAGAGAGGTAACCTGGGGTTTACCCACCAGACACAGGCTCAAGCCCTACTAATAACAAGCAGGTAAAATATGGTAACTACAATTAGAAGACAAAAAGGCTAACAGAGATTCTCAGGGTCCTGGGATCAAGCCCCATGTCGGGTTCCCTGCTCAGCAGGGAGTCTGCTTCTCTCTCTCCGTCAGCCCCTCCCACCTGCTCTTGCTTGCTCTTGCTTGCTCTCTCTCAAAATCTTAAAAAAAAAAAAAAGTTTTTTATATGTATTCTATAGTGTGTTTCATAACTTAACGTACCTGAAGATCACAAGTACTAGAAGATACATATTTATCTTATTCTTTTAAACATCAATCTTCAACATTTAAAATTCACTTTTAGATTACAAAATAAAAAAGAAGCATACCTGCTCAGTTGTCATCTGTACTGCAGCATGAACTGGCATACTATAGCTTGGTCCAGCTCTTCCAGAGCCCCAACTACTTTCTAAACTGAATCCTAAAGCTGTAATTTACAAAATGAATAAAATCACCAAATGAATTATCTTTTAGTAAGTAACTTTTAGTTGTGTTCTAAATATACTTAAAAGATTTTTTAAAAACTAAGAGTCATTAAAAAAATGCCACATTTTTTTAAATAATTTTTTATTGTTATGTTCATCACCATACATTACATCATTAGTTTTTGATGTAGTGTTCCATGATTCATTGTTTGTGCATAACATCCAGTGCTCCACGCAGAATGTGCCCTCTTTAATACCCATCCCCCCACCCCCCTCTAGAACCCTCAGTTTGTTTTTCAGAGTCCATCGTCTCTAATGGTTCGTCTCCCCCTCCGACTTACTCCCCTTCATTCTTCCCCTCCTGCTATCTTAACATATATTAAAATGCCACATTTTTTAACAAACTCTTGCCAAATAAAAAATACCTCTTTATTCCCTATTGGGAGATTCTTTTTGTCTATAATTTATCAGACGAAGTTTAAAATCAGGGATTTTAAACCAGATATTATCATTGGGGAAAATTAGGGGAGGGAATACAGGACCTCTATGTATGTGTGCATGTGCATGTTCTCACACACACACACGCCCCCTCCTATGAATCTGTAATTATTTCAAAATAAAGAGGAAAAAAAATCAGGGATTTCCTTAAAAAGATTCCTAAGAAGAGTTACAACTCAGAGCCTTCAACACAAATTATTTCTCAAGAGGAGAAATGTTTTATAATTCCTGCATCTTACAGTAGCAAAATAATAGGAGCTTAAACTCTAAACTTACTTTTTGGTGCAGGACCCAATTTAAATCCATGTTTCTTCAACTGATCTAAAACCGCTTTTCTGTTTTCTTCTTTTCCCCAAAAAGTCATATGGAGAGGCATGGTAAAAGCATTGTTTGCACCAAAAGGAACGACCCTATTATATTTGAGGAAAAAAAAAAGAGAAAATTAGAACTGTTATTTTTACTTCCATTAAGAATATGACTATTAAATATTGTAAGCATCACTGGGGTGCCTGGGTGGCTCAGTCATTAAGCATCTGTCTTCGGCTCAGGTCATGATCCCAGGGTCCTGGGATCGAGCCCCACATCGGGCTCCCTGTTCCGTGCTTCCCCCTCTCCCACTCCCCCTGCTTGTGTTCCTTCTCTCGCTGTGTCTCTGTCAAATAAATAAATAAAATCTTTAAAAAAAATAAAATAAAATAAGAAAATATTGTAAGCATCACATTCAAATTTTGCAAGGAAGTGAAATAAGGAACTACTGGGCAAACTAGAAAAACAGTAAAGGTACAGGGAATAGGATCAACAACAATCAGTTTCTGTTCCTCTTTTGGAACAGAAAGCCAGAAGAAACTGAAAAGATGGAATAAAGCAGGATAGCCTATAACTGAGATTATAAGATAGGTACAACAGTAAGCTTAATTGAAAGGGAAGAGCTTTCACTAACAGAACCACTGACAGTAGCAACCCATTCTAGGAGGATGGAGAATGATTTGCAAGAACTACATCTGACCCTTAACAACATGGGGTTTAAGGACACTGACCCCCTATGCAGTTAAAAATCCACACATAACTTTTGATACCCTAAAAACTTAACTACTAATAGCCTATTGTTGACCAGAAGCCTTACCAAAAACATAGTCAATTAACACATATTTTGTAGGTTATATGCATGATAGACTGTGTTCTTAAAGTAAGCTAAAAAAAAAATTAACAAAATCATAAGGACAGAATACATTCACAGTAGTGTACTGCATTTATTTAAAAAAATCTGCATTTAAGTGGGCCTGTACAGGTCAAACCCATGTTCAAGTGTCAACTATATTTATGATCCACGATTCACTAAAAATTTATTCTCAATATCCAAAAAATTTAATGAACTGAGAATGGAGAAAACAAGTAAAGTGAGAAGACATTACTGAACATTTGTCATCCAACCTCACTTTTTCATATTCTAAACATTCCATACTTAAATTGAGATCACAGACTAAATGCCTGAAAGAGAAAAAATGGTAACCAAGGAGATTGGGAGTTTTAAAAAAAAGGAAGAGGTGGTAGAACTGGGAGAATACAGGCCTTGCCTAAAGCAGCAGCTGCTACTCTGCTCCAGTCAACTGATGTTCTGTGCAAATGAAGGTCAGATCTTCCATTTGTCAAGAGAAATCTTCAAAAATAATTTTCAATTAGGGAAAAAATTAACCTATATAAAATGCAGAATATCCAGATATTTGAATATTGGAAATAAATGAAAAATTATAAACCACTATGTAGGCAAAATGAAACTCACCTACATACGATCACAGGCTACTAGTTTACAACCTCTGATTTAAACAAACACTTCCAAACTCCCAAATCTATACACTAAAAGGTTTGGACACATGGTATGGATTTCCTAATATTTGAGCCAAAGTCTATTATTTTCCGTGGTAATAATTTAGTAGGAAAGTAAGGGAATAGTTGTTTCATGGCTGGGGTAGTAGAGGCAGATGGGAAAAGAATTAACACATTTATTGAACACATACTAAAGGCATAGTGATAGAAGTTGTCAGGGCAACTATATAGCCTCTTAACAAATTCAAAGATCACAATTTATAATTATTAAAGCTAAACTCTGAAAGTACATTACCCTTCAATCTGTGCCAATTTGTTGTCCATGATATAGGCCAAAGCAGCTGCAAGATCTTTCTTTAAATGGCCAACCTGATTTCCATTCACATTGTTTACTTTAATTGCGTTCTTATCATAGGGGTTATTGGGCTCTCGTTGTAACGCAACCATTTCATTATTATTAACCTAATAAATTAACAAACAGATAATATTATAAATAATAAATATACAATAGCTTTCTTCATTAAACAATCTGGGCTTTCCATTTATTTTTTTAATACTTACTTAATAACAGCATATAAAAAATGTAGATTTTCTTAGACTCATATTTGTATAGTAATATAAAAAATATATTTTATAATGTTTTTTACAGTATTTTTTAAACTTACATTCACTGGGAAGTTAACAAATCCTTGATATCTGAAAGATACAATCAAAACTAAATAAAAGTTTCACACTAAAATTTTCAACATAACTTCCGAAAACACGTGATCTTTACTGAGTGCTTATTATGTGCCAATGTTCTAAGTACATTACATAGATTTGACTTTTCAAATCTTCACAACTCTATCCGTAGGTACTATCATTACCCTCATTTTACTGATAAAGACACTAAAGCACAGAAAAGTTAAGTAACTTGACCAAGGTCATAAAGCTATTAAGTAGCAGAACTAGAATTTAAATCCAGGCAGGCTGTTTCCTAAGTCTGATTTCTCCAGACTCTAAAAGGGGAAAAAGATATTAATTATAAGTCAAAATGGAATGAAATTAAGAAAATATATCCAACCTTCAATTCATGCCATTCTGATTCTACTAGATTAAAAGTTGCCTGAGGGTGATGTCATTGAAAACAGAAGAGTTAAGGACTTCTGAAAATTCTCTCTTCCATAATGGCAATGAAAAAAATGGCAGAAATTGTCAGAATCAACTTTTCCAGACATCTGGAAACCAACCAAAGGATTGCAGAAACCTGGAGGGTGTTAATTCAAAAAAAAAAACAAAACAAAACTAAACTAAACAGCTAAACATCAGTGTCCTAGTCCCATCTCCAGCTCTCAGCTGCATGATAGCCTTTAAAAGTAACCTGCTAAAATTCTTGGTGCAGTCTAGTAGTCACCAAAGGGAGTGCAATGGAACAGAATCTTTCAAAGATTAATTTCCTAAGAATTGTCATTATTTGACCTGTATGATGGTTCTCCAGAATATCCTCACTTGCAAAGTGATTTCTATTGGATCTCTGAGCTCAACCAATACAAAAAAACCTTCCTTGGGTGGGTGTTTGTTAGAAACAATTTTACAGGCAGCGGGTAACAGCTGGAGCAAACAATACAATAACCAAAAGGATTAAAAGGAAAGCTGGGGACTAAGATGTCCACTAAGGCTCTGAAAAGCTCCAATATATTCCTGGGAATGTATAAGGCCATATTCAAGCAGAGCGCTATATGCATGCCCAGGGCTGTGCATATGATCAGGAGAAGACCTAAGAAGACCATAAGCTCACACCTCTGGCTAAACTTAAGGCTCTGAACAAGCAGGACATGAAGGTTAAGGAAGAACTGTCAAATGAAGGAGTGCCCCAAGTGCATACAGATCCCCATAGTAAAGACGGATAGATTTACTGGTTCTGGTTTAATCATAAGCTGACCATTAAGCTAACCAAGTACAGACATCAGTAGATTTTACAGGGTTAATTCAAGAAAATCACTAAACAAGCAACAATTTCCAAAATCAGCAACAACAAACAACCCTGGAGAGGGAGAAGAATCTAATTTTTACAGTTGCCACATTATTTAAAAAGTCTACTTTTCGACAATAACAAAAGAGACATGCAAAGAAATGAGAAACTATGGTTCACTCATAGGAAAAAAACTATCAACTGTCCCTGAGGAAGCACAGATGTTTGACCTACTAGGAAAAAAATTTAAAGTATGTTCAAAAACCTAAAGCAAACCATGTCTAAAAAACTAAAGGAAAACATAAAAACTATGTCTCACCAAATACAAAGTCTGTTGTCAAAAAGTACAGTAAAGTAAAAAAAAAATTCAGTAGAGAGGCTCAACAGCAGATTGTGTGGAGGCAGAGGTTATCAATGAAGATGAAGACATTAGATGGGAGTCTAAGAACAGTTAGAGTCTGAGGAATATATAAAAAAAATGAAGAAACATGAACAGGCCTCAGAGATCTGTGGGACGATAGCAACCATATCTAAGATACACATCAGTCTCAGAAGGGGAGGAGAAAAAAGGGTAGAAAGGATATTTGAAGAAATAATAGCTGAAAACTCCCCAAATTTGATGAAAAACATTAATCTACGTAACTTAGAAACTCAACAAACTCCAAATAAACTAAACTTAAAGAGATCTAAACCCAGACACATCATAATCAAGCTGTGGAAAAAAATGTTGAAAGCAACAAGAGGAGCAACTCCTTATTTATAGGAGGATCCTCAATAAGATTAACATCTGATTTCTCATTAGAAAGCAGAGGCCAAAAGATAGTGGAATAACTTTTGAAAGTGCTTCAAAAAAAACTAAAGCCAAGAACTCTGTATCTGATAAAATTACCCTTCGAAAGTATAGGAGAAATTAAGACACTCCAGTTAAACAATAACTGAGAAATCACCACCAAGACCTGTCCTATAAGAAATATTAAAGAGAGGGGCGCCTGGGGTGGCTCAGTCGTTAAGCGGCTGCCTTCGGCTCAGGTCATGATCTCAGGGTCCTGGGATCAAGCCCCACATCGGGCTCCCTGCTCCGCGGGAAGCCTGCTTCTCCCTCTCCCACTCCCCCTGCTTGTGTTCCCTCTCTAGTTGTCTCTCTCTGTCAAATAAATAAAATCTTTAAAAAAAAAAAATTATAAGAGAGACCTACAGGCTGAAATCAAAGGACTAGACAATAACGTGAATCTACACAAAGAAATACGGACTACAGGTAAAGGTAATTAGATGGGTAAATATAAAAAGTATACATTTTTTGGTTTTAACTTTTTTCTCCTACCTGAATAAAAGTGCATAAAACAATTATAAATCTGTGTTGATGTGCATACACTGTAAATAAAGATGTAATTTGTATGTTAACAGCACAAAGGAATGGGGAAAGAGGGAAATGGAGCTATCTATAAGCAAAATTTTTATATGCTATTGAAATTAAGTTGGCACTAATCCAAACTAGATTCTTATGAATTAAGATATTAATTGTAATTCCCCAGAGCAACTAAGGAAACAACTCAAAATATACAATGAAAGAAATGAGGAAATTAAAATGGCACACTAGAAAATATTAATGCAAAAGATGGCAGTAATGAAGGTTAGACCCAAAAGCCACATATTGTATGGTTTCATTCTATGTGATGTGTAGAGTAGGCACATCCACAGAAATAGAAAATAAATGAGTAGATATCAGGGACTGAGGAGAGAGAGTAATACCAAGTGATTTCTAAAGCATACAGTGTTCTTTCTGGAGTGACGAAACATTATGGAACCAGAGTGGGGATGGTTGCACAACCTTGTGAATACAAACCACTCAATTGTACTTTAAAAATGGTGAATTTTGGGACACCTGTGTCACTCAGTTGGTTAAGCATCTGCCGTCAGCTCAGGTAATGATCCCAGTGTCCTGGGATAGAGTCCTGCATCAGGCTCCTTGCTCAGCAGGGAGCCTGCTTCTCCCTCTGCCTTCCCCTCCCCCAGCTTGTGTGTGCACGCTCACGAGCTCTCGCTCTCTCTGACAAATAAATAAAATCTCTAAAAAATAAAAATGGTGAATTTTATGGTAGTGAATTATCACTTTTTTAATTGCCTGAAAAAGACAAAGGAACGCTGCTTCAAACCACCACCACCATCTGTCTACTGATTCAAGATTCACTATAGCCTGACCAGTCAGATTATCAGACAGATATTGCTCTCTAGCCCTTTGGAGATATTCATAAAGCATAGCTCTGTTCTCTCCCAGTCCCATCCTTTCTGCCAATGCCTGTAAGCATGATCTTTTTTTAAACCAAATTATGCATATTCCAAGGAATATATAACCCCAAAAAGTTAGGTAAAAAAACTTACTTTTTTTAGATTTCATCTCAAACAAAATTAGATAATTTTCTTTTATTGTAATAAATCATCACTTATTAAAAGTAGGTAACTGTGATTTACTACAGATGATAGCCAATTACTTATAGTAGATAGATAGTAGGTAATAATTAATGATAGAATTTAAAATAGAATACATATAGGCCAAAATGCTAGAGACTATAAAGACAAAGAAAACGAGGTCTGAACACCAAGACAGAAAAGGACGTATTAAAAAAGATTAAAAACAGGGCGCCTGGGTGGCTCAGTCATTAAGCACCTGCCTTCCAATGAAGATGAAGACATTAGATGGGAGTCTAAG